CCTGTCCTCAGGCTGAGCTTGGCCCCAGTCTGACCCCTGACCCTATCTTGGCTCCTGTCCTCAGGCTGACCCTGGCCCCAGAATGAGCAACCCTCCTCCTACTGGGGCTCTCTCAGGCCTTTCTGGGACAGGTTCCTTGCTCTCCCATGGACAGGCGACCCGAGCTCTGAATGGGTGTGGGGGCAAGGGGTCAAGCGGTGGCCAGGCCTGTAGTCCCAGCTATGCCTTCTCCAGGTGTGTCTCATCGGGGACTGTGTGGGGGGCCTCCTGGCCTTTGATGCCATCTGCTACAGTGCGGGGCCCTCAGGTGACAGCCCTGGCAGCAGCAGCCGGAAGGGGAGCGTCAGCAGCACCCAGGTGCGGGCCAGATGTGGGAATGGTGGCGGGGTCTGTCCTTGGGAGCAGGGGCCTCTCTGGGGGAGGTAGTGTTAGCCCTTAATATCTGTGCCATAAGATAAATGTTATAAAGTATTGTTATCACCATGTTACAAGAGTAGCAAGAGATTACTGTCACAGGTGAGGAAACTGAGGCCCAGGGGGTAGGGTCCCTAGACAGCTACCCAGAGTCCCACTGGGTTGCTGATCCGTTTGGATGCAGGAAACAGCTCTGCGCCTAAAGTCCCGTCATTAGGCACATGCTTGTATAGCTTCCGTGCTTCTTTTGGAAGCGGTATTGCCTCTCACATCTAGGAAAAAGGGGTTATATGTGCCTGGGGGAGGAGGCAGGGCCCCAAAGTTTCCGGTGACCACGGTGCCCTCCTGCCCTCTCCTTCGCCCCAAAGGACACCCCAGTTATGGTGGAGGAGGACTGCAGTCTGGCTAGCAGCAAGCGGCTCAGCAAAAGCAGCATTGATGTCTCCAGCGTGTTGGAGGATGAGGAGCCCAAGAGACCGTTGCCACGGAAACAGAGTGACTCCTCTACCTATGACTGTGAGGCCATCACCCAGCATCATGCCTTCCTATCAAGGTAACCACTCCCTGTGCCCCAGCTTTCTTCCAGCAAAGCATCCAGGGGAGAGAAGACCTTGGTTCAAAGTCATCTGGGAGGCCTGGGACCAGTATGTCCAGGACCAGGCCAAGGGAGCCCATCAACAAGCACTGAAATGCTGAGACCGAGGCCACTCCCTATGGGCCCTGGGCTGAAACCTGGGACCCTGTGCTCTGTCCCTGCTCCACCTGGACTTGTAGAGGGACAGGACAATTGGTCTCATGTCTCTGAGCCTCAGCTTCATCTTCTGCAAAATGGTAAATGCTGCCCAGCCTACTTCACTGATGGTGTTAAGAATCTAGTGAAAGAACAGATGGGTGTGTGTTTTGTGAGCTACTCCAGGTGTGTGTTCTTATTATTTCTCTAGACAGGGCGACAGAGGCCAAGTAGGTTGGAAACTTTCCTGGGATTACACAGCCAATTATTGAAGAGCTGGGGTCAGCGTTCTGGTCTTGCGATCCCCAGTACTCAACACACGTTTACTCATAGGCCAGGCGGGGCTCTCCACAGAACTGTCCACCCTTTAACTTCTTAGAAGAGACATGTTCATTGACACCACCTAAATGAATTATTTGCTCATGTATTCAGGATACAAGAACGCCTCTTCTTCCCAGTCTCCTCGATTCTTTCCCTCCTTCCCTTTTTCCCGCCTTCTTTCGTACCCAAGTGATAAGTAGCATGAGGTCAGTACAACATTTAGAAAATAGATCGTCTCACTACCCAGAGGGAACCATTGTTAACACCTAGGCGTATTTTTTATATGCTCTGCATATAGTTTTACTTTAAAAAAACAACCCAAAACACAAAAACCTTTATATTATGATCTTTTCCCCATATACTTAAAAGTACTGCACATGGTAAACGTTCATAACAATATTTTATTGAGTGAATGGACATCTTAATCCCAGTCATTGGGCACTTTGGCTTTTTCCAATTCTTTGCAATTATAGATAGCATTCCGGTCACCATCTTGGTGCCTAACCATGTACGTATACGTTAGGTTATTTCATTTTCAGGGATTCCTGAAGGGGGAATTACTGGGTCAAAGGCTCTGCATATTTAAATCTCTGACTATTTACAGCCTCTCTGACAGATTATTCTTTGGAAAGACAGCTACATTTCAAGTCTGAGTTGCAAAGTAAAATCTCTACATTTCTGATTCATCCTTGAAAAATCTTTTAAGAAAGCCCCACATTTGGAGAATGACAAGAAGTTGGAGGCTTTTGGTAGCTGGTCCAACACAGCCAGCTTTTCCCTCTGGGATAGGGACAGATGGCTCTTTCTTTGGCAATTAAGTAGTTGGCGTGTGTTTGGGGACCACGCTGTACATGAAATATGTATTGTTAAACACCAGAGCCGTCATCATCACTGGGAGATGCTCGCCCTGCGAGAGGCAGAGGAGTATGGGGATTCAGGTTCAGCTTTCTGGACCCTGGCTCACACTATTTCAATTGTCATTTCTAAAATTCTCTTGCTCCTCCAAGTGGAGTTTGCTAGTTGAATTTGCACTCTTGATGCACAGATCATGCAATCCCATTGGATTGTCTTAAACTTGAAGCTGTACCCAAACACCAGCTGGAAGAACTGGGAGGTTCCCAGTTTTCTTGCCCATCCTGGGCAGCCTGCTCTGGGGTCTGTGGCTAACCATCAGCTTGAGCTCTTTGGGGCAATGGGTGCCTGGGACGCGAATGGTTGGAATTCTGTGTTGTCTCATGGTTTTCTCTTCAAGCTCTGCTTCAGCCACGGGCTGGAGGGGAGGGAAGACCAAGCTGTTTGCATCTGTCTCTGCGGGCTACCTGGAACACGAGTTATAACAAAAGCCCTAATCCTGGCAGGACTGATATCACCCAGCTGGTCTGCATATTGGCCAGCTGGGCTTCTCTGGTTGATGGTGCAGAAATTCACAGTGTGGCCATCACAAAACCAGCATGGTGGGGCAGGCCTGCCAGCGCGTAGGATGCTTAGGTGTTCTCAGGTGCTCAGCCCATTTTAGTAAATCAAGTTCTATTGGATCACAGCCATATGTATTTGTCTAAGCATCATCTATGGCTGCTTGCATGCTACACGGCAGAGGTAAGTGGATATGATGGAGGCCATATGGTCCTCAAAGTCTAAAATATTTACCATCTGGCTCTTTACAGAAAAAGTTGGCTGACCCCAAGTGTTGGCCTGGCATTAGTGGCCAATGCTAAGATGGTTGCTGCTCAGGTTGATGGCATCCAGCTAGTGGACTCTGGTTCTGGACCCTGCCCCAGAGACGGAGGGCTGGGCTCCCCGCGCCTAGAGTTCAGGCTGCCCTGAGCATCTCTAAGTGAACACTCCATATCCTGGATGCTCCCCTAACCTGCTCTGCTGTGTCTCCCTCCTTCCGGCAGCATCCACTCGAGCATGCTGCAGGATGAGGCCGAGCCCACTGCAGCCGGGGGCTCCCAGCTCGCGGAGGTCAGCCTGGGCCGCTTGGACTTCGACGTGTCAGACTTCTTCCTCTTCGGCTCGCCCCTCGGCCTGGTCCTGGCCATGCGGAGGACAGTGCTGCCGGGGCTGGATGGTGGGTGTGCCATAGGCTGGGGCCTGAGATGCCTTTGTGTCACTAGGTCACCATGTCAGGGCCTCAAATTGGGGAGAGTGGGGGTTGGGGGGATAGGGGCAGGGAGGATCACGGAGTTGGGGTAGGTGGACAGAGAAGAAAGGAAGGAGGGAGAGGAGAGAGGAGGGAGAATGGGGCAGTTTATCCAGATGGAGCAAAGGCGCGGTAGCGCCTAGTGGATTTCACTGTCCTTGTCACATGCCTCCGGCCCATTTGTGGCCCCCTTGTCCAGTTGTCATGCCATAAATATGTACCCTCTTGCACTCATCCCCTCCTTCCCCAGTGCCCAGGCAGACCCACTGCTGCCAGGCCCACCTTACTGACCCCTGCATGTACCCAGGCCCACCTCAGTGCCTTTGTTCATACAGCACCCACAGCCTTGAATGTCATCCTCCAGTACTCTAAAATACACACTGAGGCGATTTGCAGCAGCAGGTGGTGAAGTGGGCTGAGGAGACAGGACCCCACGGTTGCCCTTATGTCACTAAGGAACCCTAGGGCTCCCTGGATGCTGGACTGTCCAGATCCCTGACCTAGAGGGACTGGGAGACGCTCTGATGGGGGCTCAGTGGCGCCACCTGCTGGCCTGTGGGAGAAGTGTCCTGCCAGCTCTGGCAAACCACTAACTCGACCACCAGACCTAGGAATTGAGTGGGGGCTGGAGGGATGGGCCTCTGATGCTGACCAAAAGACCCTGGGCCAGCTTCATAGATCAGGTAGCAATTAAGTGAAAGCTGGATGAATTTAAAGGCGTTTGACCAGTGGAGATAGTGGAAGGAGGGCCTGCTAGGAGGAGGGGCAGCTTGAGCTAAGGCTCAGAGAAAGGGGTACCCCAGGACTGGTTGGGGAGTTGCAGATGACCACCGTGGCTGCAGTGCTGGGTGCTTATAGCAGTGCTGCTGCTAGGTGAGGCAGGTTGGCAAGGCTTTTAATGCCAAACTGAACATGATGGTTTTTTTTAATTTTTTTAATTTTTTAATTTTTTTATTTAAAGATTTTTATTGGGGAATTGGGGGGATGGGAACAGTGCTGGGGAATTGGGGGAAGGGGGACAGACAAGTTGCTGTCGTCTTGTTCTTCAATCTAGTTGTGGAGGATGTTGCTTCACTGGCCCAAGTTGGCACCATCATTGCGCTCTTCTCTGGCGAGGCAGATCAGTCGCCGGCTTCTAGACGGCCGCTCACTGCGGCTGCTGGCCGCTCACGCTGGCTGCTGGCTACACACGGTAGCCCATGGCAACCCACTGCCACAGGGGCTGCAGCCTACTCCGTCGCCAGGGACTCACGGCAGCCCAGCTCCAGGTTGAGCTGTTGTTCAGCATCTTAGCTGTGGAGGGCAGTGTCACTGACCCTCATATGTGGGATCCGAACCGGGGCCCTCTGGCATCCCAAGCGAGTTCTTAACCATCGCGCCACTCGGCCGGCCCTGAACACGATGGTTTTGATCCTGTTGGAGCAGGGAGCCATGGCAGGTTCTTGAGCAGAGGAGTAGGCTACTCAAAGCTGCACTCACGGGAGCCTCCTCGGGCCAAGGGAGCAGGTACTAGCAAGGGGCTTCCCCCGTGTTTCCTCCCACCAGGCTTCCAGGTGCGTCCTGCCTGCAGCCAGGTCTACAGCTTCTTCCACTGCGCAGACCCCTCCGCCTCACGGCTCGAGCCACTGCTGGAGCCCACGTTCCACCTGGTGCCGCCCGTCAGTGTGCCCCGCTACCAGAGATTCCCACTGGGCGATGGACAATCTCTTCTCCTTGGTAGGCTCTCGGGTGTGAGCGTGCTGTGCCAGAGGCTGGGTCCCAGCCAGGCAGCACTCCAGGGCCACCTTCTGATCTCGCCCCTCCACGCTGTCAGCTGATGGAGTGACTGGACCCAATTGAGCAGGGTCTGTGTGCTCTTGGGATATGGGAGAACAGACAAACAGCTGACTCATCTGCTTTCTGTTCAGCCCACCTGTGCTCTGTAGGAGCTCAGAGACCCAGGCTCTGCCCCTGACAAGCTCTTGGCTAAGCTCCTACAGCCAGGGCCAGCATACTACTGGAGCTGTCAGGCCTAATTAAAAGTACAAGAATCCAGCTGAGTGCTCTTGCCCAGGGCCCAGCCTGGACTCTGGAGGTGCAGAGCAGGGAGTATCTCTTCCTGGCAGGCTTCATGGAAGAGGGGGCTTTCGACTAAGGCATTTGGACAGGTGGAGAAGACGTGGAGAATGGGGGTTGGGGAGTCTTCTAGGTGGAAGGAGCAAGGGCAGGTGGGTTTAGGGGAGGGCTCGTAGCCTCTGGGACTCAAGTGGGGTGAGCAGAGCATGGACTGGGGTGAGGTCAAGGGGCGGTCTGGAACCGACAGTCAGGGGCTTGGAGATCAGAGCCTTGGCTCATACCCCAGAGCCTGTTCTGAGGTTTGAGCCAGATTGTGGGGGGAGTGCTGTGCATGTGGCTCGTTCAGGATTAAAAACCAGCCTCTCGCCCTGCCCATTTCAATGATGAGCTTAATTTCCAAAGCTTTGTCAGGACGTCCATAGATAGAAGAGGCTCTAAAACCTCCTTCCCACACCCTAAAATGTGTCCCTCTTTGGTTGGGGCATCTCCCTGCCTCCAGAGAGGCCCTAGTTCCCAGGCTGGGGTCCCCATTCACTTCCAAGCTCAGCCAGCATCCTCTGTGACTCATGAGAGGAGTTTGATACTCGAGCACGTGGTTAATGGTCACCCCATGACCTCAGCTTGTGCTTTCGGGGGGCACTCTCCCAGAGGTGCCCTCGGCAGCTCTATTGGGTGTAGGGGTGATGGTTGGGATCCCAACTTATGCCTGCATAACCCACAACTTAGAGGACGTGAAACCCAACGATACACTATGGTGGCGTCCTGTCAGGCCCCGGAGGGAGGGGCGGTGTAGGTTGCCTGTTGGGTGGGTGGGTGAGCAGGGCCAGGGCTGTGTCTTTACTGAGCACCCAGCGTCCTGCCCAAAACAGGGCTGGCACAGCACGGGCGGCTCTATTGAGACATGCTATGCCGCCCTGACTGTGACATTTTCCTTCTAGCGGATGCCCTGCACACCCACAGTTCCCTCTTCCTGGAGGGTAGCTCCCCGGATAGCCCGCTGCTTCTGGATGCCCCCGTCTCACCCCCTCAGGCCCCGAGGTCCCAGCGCCCAGCACGGAGGATAAGCCAGGGCAGCTCCCACAGCGAGAGCTCAGAGTCCTCAGACAGCCTGGCACCCATGGGCGCCTCCCGCAGTGAGTGAGGGTCTTCTGGGGCCTGCTTGGGTTCAAGGGAGAGGGACCTCCCTTTGGGTGGCTACTCGTCCGCTGCAAGGGCTGCTGGGGGCAAGCTTCAGGTGGGGAGGAGGAGTAAAGGAAATCTAGACGGAACTCTGACCTCAGAGAGAACTTTGACCTCTGACTCTAGACAGGGCCCTGACCTCTGATCTTGAACTGAGCCATGACCTCTCAGGCATAGACTGAGCTCTGACCTCAGTCAGAGCCCTAATTTTAACACTCAGTTTTCCCACTGGGAACCCCTGCTGACCAGCAGCCCTGGGGTGATACTGTGGACATCTCCATGGGTCCCCATTCCTGGGGACCAATTGCAGCCCATGTCCTAGAGGAGCAGTGGACAGGTGGAAGGGCTGGTGGGTTATGAGAAGGTGGGAGTGGGAGCAACACGTTTCCCAGGGCACATTTTTGAGCTGGGTGCTCTAACCCGGAACTTGTGCCCTGATGGCATGTCTACCACTGGGTCTGTGTAAGAGGGTCCCGCATTGCCCCTTGGGCCACAGCCCTGGGCAGGCCACTCTGTCCTCACCCTCCTCTCGGCCCTGCAGTCACGGCCAAGTGGTGGGGCACCAAGCGCATCGACTATGCCCTGTACTGCCCTGACGTCCTCACAGCCTTCCCTACTGTGGCGCTTCCTCACCTCTTCCACGCCAGCTACTGGGAGTCCACGGATGTGGTGGCCTTCATCCTGAGACAGGTACTCTGCCCCCTGCCTGGGCCCTGCCTGCGGGGCCCCTCTGAAGGGTCCCGTTCTGGAGAGGAGGGTATCAGGAAGGCATCGAAACACTCAGCCAAGTGGGGGGTGACAGAGACAATGGGTTTCATGAAGAGCACTGGCTTCTGGCTCATGGTATGGTACTTTCTAGAAAATTAAAAAGATACTACATAGGAGAATATACCCATGGTTTGACTTGGAAACTGGAGTAATAAATGCCTGCTCCCCTGTGGGTCTCAATGTTCTTCTCTGTAAAAGAGAAGGTGGAGCAGAGAGGCCAGTGACTGAGGGAGAGCCTGGGAGGAAGGACGTGGGGAGGTGGGGGCAGGTTGGATCATGCGCAGCCTCCACGGCCAAGGTCAGGAGTTGATTTTATGCTGCGTCCAATGAGAAGCCATTGCAAGGGGTTGCGCAAGGGAGAGATGTCAACTGAATTGCGTTTTTCGTAGACGCCCTGCTGCTATTTGTGGGGGTGGGGGCAAGAGAAAACGTGAGGTCCTTTATGAGGCAAGTGTAGGGGCCCAGCTTTCAAGATGGCGGCTCGGGCTAGGATGCTGGTGGTAGAGGTTCTGAGGAGCAGCCGGATTTGGGTTGTGCTGACAGGACTTGCAGGCCTCTGGGTGATGAGGGAAAGAGGGGAGGCCAATGGATTCTGTTTCCCACTTGAGTATCTACAGCGTTGCCATGCCCTAGGATTGGGGAAGGACAGGGCTGGGGTGAGGTGGGGAAACAGAATACTGGCTCTAGACCTGGGAAGGCAACATGCCTGTTAGATGTTGGGAAGGAAAGTGAGTAGAGAGTCTGGAGCTTAGGGAAGATGTGAGGCATAGAGATAAAAATGTGGGGTCATCAGAGCTCGGGGGGCATTTAAAACCAGTGATGGGTGCAATGCTCTGATTTTGACAACCAATTCCAATGTGTGGTTTGTTCCCCACACGAGCAATTCTCCGACACCAGCTGGTGTCATACAATTCAACCAAATTCTGACACTATCGACCTGGAAATAGCTCAGATCCCCGACGGTAAGGATTCAGCCTCATAAGTCCTTCCCTACCCACCCCCCTTCAGATGCCAATCACAAGTCCAGGGTGTTACCCGGACTTCTGACCAAATGACTGGAGGTCAGAGGTTCCAATGCCCCCTCCTTGTATTCAATTAATTTGCTAAAGTGACTCACAGAAATCAGAGAAACATTTTACATACTAGATTACTAATTTGTTATAAAAAGATACAACTCAGGAAGAGCCAGATGGAAGAGATGAATAGGGCAGGGTGTGGGGAAAGGGTGTGTGAAAAAGCTCTCCAGGGATGTTACTCTCCCCAGATCTCCATGTGCTCTCCAAGCTGGAAGCTCTGTGAAGCCCATTTTTTATGGAGGTTTCATTACACAGGCGTGATTGGTTACATCATTGGCCGGTGGCGATTGATCCAACCTCCAGCCCCTCTTCCCTCCCTGGAGGTCAGGGGTTGGGGCCGAAAGTTAAAACCCTCTGTTCACATGGTTGGTTCCCCTGGCAACCAGCCCCCAAAGTCACCTCACCAACGTAGCAAGAGATGCTTTTGTCACTGTCATCACTTAGGAAATTAGAAGGGTTTTAGGAGCTCTGTGCCATAAATGAGGGATGAAGACCAAATATATATATTTCTTAAGATAAATCACAACATCACAGAGACGAGGGAGTTTCCATTAGATAGAGAAGTTCCGGGGTGAGTCCTGCGGCTCCATGGGGGAGAGGAGGACCTACCAAAGAAGACCAGAGAGGAGAGGACATCTCTCTTGGAGGAGAACCAAGAGAGCATGGACAGGAGTGGACCTCTGAGCTGGGCAGGATGGAAGTGACGGGGCCTTGGCAGGAAAGGCTTCTGTGGCGCGACGGGGACAGAAGCCTGACTGGAGTGGGTGGAGGGAGGAAGCAGGTGGGGAAGGGGCGACGGGGCGTAGGGTGAGTCTGCTGTGGGACGTCCATGTAAGGGAGAGCAGAGAAGTGCCGTGGTCATTAGAGAGGCACCAGGGGTCCCAGGGAGAGTCATTTTTGTTTTTCAAGATGGGCACAATTCCAGTGTGTTTAGATGCAAAGGACAACGATCCTAGGATTCATTCAGGGACTAGTCAGTGATGCGGGATTGAGCGGGAGTATTGTGGGAGCAATGTTCTTGAGTGGGTGGGAGGGGCTGGGATTAGGGCTCCGGCGGGCCTTCGGGGAGGGTCACCTGCCGTAACAGGTGGGAAGGCAGAGGATGGGTACCGATGTAGGTAGCTGCTAGGTTTGGGTACGGAGGGCAGAGGCTGCTCCTAGACCGCAGCATTTGCTAGACGGTGCTCTGGCCCCAGCTATCAGGACAGGCGGGCAGGGAGTTGGGTCCTGGGGGCTCCAGCTTCCTGAGGGTTCCAAGCTGGGAAGTGGGGAGGCCTGGAGGAGGGCCCACCGGCCACAAGCTGGTGGGCCCTGACACCCTGGGAAGGAGGGAGAGGGGTTGAGGTGACCTGACCTGGAGCCCTGCTCGGCTGTATATCAGGTGATGCGCTATGAGAGCGTGAATGTCAAGGAGAGCGCTGGCTTGGATCCTGCAGCATTGAGCCCCGCGAACCCCCGGGAGAAGTGGCTTCGGAAGAGGACCCAGGTCAAGCTGCGGGTATGTGCTTGTTGGAGTCACATACTAGTTGGGATGTGGCCTCAGGGAGGTGGGGCTGTCCTGGGAGCTGTTGGCATCCACATGGCAGTTAAGGCCTTTGAGTTGCCCCTCAGAGCTGAGCGCCCACATGTTCTGAGCTTCAGGCTTAGATGAGGCCCATGGTGCTGCAGTGGGGGTGGGGTGGGGGGTAAGGTGTATGTGAGATGGGAGAGCTGGTGCCTGGTGGACTGACTCCACAGGAGCCCCAAGCTTGTGGATCCAGGGCCCTGGGGCTGGTGAGGAGATGCTAATTGTGGAGCAATTGTTATATGCCAGGCCTCTGTAGATGTGGATGTCAATCAGAAAGAGTCCTCCCACGATCACGGGGCTCACAGTCTGATTCACCAAGTATGGCCTGGTGTGGTATGCGCCACGATAGAGGAAGGCACAGATTAGGAAGACAGTGGAGAGAAGGATGGTAGGATGGGCCACGCAGGGCTCCCGTGAGGAGTCACCTCTATAGGGCATTGAGGTTTGAATAGGAGTTTGGTATGTACACATTCATTTATTTACCCAGCAAACAATCATCAGTGCCCACTGTGTCCCAGGCCCTCTGCTAGGGAATGGAGGATAGGGATTTTCAGATACAGACTATGCTATGGGGGACACTTGCAGTCTGGTGAGAAGATCAGACATGGAGCCCATAAACAATCCTAAAAGGTAGAAGGTGAACAATGCTCCACGAATTGTCTTTTTTTTGGTACACATATCATTGAGATATCACTCAAACATCATACAATTCACCCACTTAAAATGTACAATTTAATGGATTCTAGTGTATTCACAGATGTGTACAACCATAACCACATTCAATTTTATAGTATTTCCATCGCCTCAAAAAGAAACCTCTTACCCTTTAGCTATCATCCCCCCACCCCAATTACCCCCAACTTTAAGCAATCAGTAATCTACTTTTAATCTCTATAAATTTGCCAATTCTGGACATCTCATATAAGTGGAACCATACAATATATTATCTTTTGTGTTTGGTTTCTTTCACTTAGTATAATGTTTTCAAGGTTCATCCGTGTTGTAGCATGTGTCAGCACGTCATTCCTTTTCATGGCTGAATAATAGTCCATTGTGTGGGTGTGTCACATTTTGTTTATGCATTCATCAGTTGGGGGACATTTGGGTTATTTCTATGTTTTGTCTACTGCGAATGATGCTGCTATAAATATTTGTTTATAAGTTTTTGTGTGGACCTATGTTTTCATTTCTTCTGGGTGTATACCTAGGAGTAGAATTGCTGGGTCAAACATTAACCCTAGTTTAATTATTTGAAGAACTGCCAAATTTTTCTAAAGCGGCAATATCATTTTACATTGCTCCCAGCAGTGTTCCAGTTTTTCCACATCCTTGCCAACGCTTGTTATGATCTGTCTTTTGATTCCAGTCATCCTAGTGGCCATGAAGGAATACCTCACTGTGGTTTTGATTTGCATTTCCCTGATGACGAGTGATGTTGAGCACCTTTCCATGTGTTTGTTTCCATGAATCAACTCTTCCCGCGCCAGGATTGCTGTGAGGGGCCTATGTCCCCCACTTGAAGGAGTATCTCCAGGGCAGGGTTCACGACTGGTTCCTCTCTGTGTCCCCAGAGCCCAGTTTAGGGACCAATGCAGATGAGGTGACTGCAAATGTTTGTTGAATTGAATTAGAATACCATGGGAATCGAGAGGAGGTAGAGACCATCTGGGGAGTCGAAGCAGGGCTTCTTGGAGGGGACAAAGTTGAGTCAGGTCATAGCGGATCGGCTGGAATGTAGGGGCAGAGGGCCAGAGAAGACATGTAGAGTGGGGGGCCCAGCCCTTTGTAGATCTGGAGGCCACTGCAGAGCCTGGCCTGAAAGGACAAGAGGGGCTTCGAAGGGGAACAACAGGAGACAAGGCTGAAAATGTTGCCAGGCAATGCTTTGATGCTGAGTGCAGGATTTGGACTGCATTTGGAGGGTACTGGGTGTTAACAGGCCTGTGTTTTATAAAGATGATGGAGCTGCCACAGGGTCTGTTTTATGAATAAGGCACGTCATTAAGAAGCTATTAGCAGAGTCCAGGTGAGAGGCAACACGGGTGTGGGGAGAGATACCATGTGGGCAGTCCTGTAAAGACAGGGTGACTGGTGTGAAAGCTGGTCTGGGGGTGGTGGGTGGTTGGGCCAATGGAGGCCTTGGAGCTGTGGAATGACTTGAAACGAGAAATGAAGAAGGACGGGGATGGTGGGATGCTCACAGATAAAATGATGCGATGTCCACGATGGCTCCCGAATCATCTGCGGTGGGGCAGGGGCGGGGATTCAGCAAGGGAAGGGGGACACCAGAGTGGCTATGGGTTGATATGCGGAGGGGCTGGTGCTGGACACACGAGACTTCGTCACAATGTTCTCTCTACTCTTGTACTCCTGAAATCTCCCATTAAGGTTGCCGTGGTAAATGGCTATCGCATGTGTACCGTAACGTGGAAGGAAGAACTAAAGATGACCGGCAGTTTCCAGCCTAGAAAACTAGAAGGATGGCGGGTGGTGAGGACCGGCAGTTCCTCAGGGCCATGGGGGAGAGTCAAGAGCAGAGAACGCACATCTACAGGAACCCCAGTGCTCCTTGGAGACAGTGTTAGGGCTAAGGGGCTGGTTTTTTGTGTTTTTTTTTTTTTGCCATGGGTCCTAGGGGAACCTGTCTCAGAAACTCTGACGGGAGTTCATAGGAAGGCATGATTCGGGAGGTCCATATCCTTCCTGCCAGTCCTAAGGACAGTGGAATAAAAACGCAAGTTCCAGCCCCGCTTGCAAAGGCTGAGCTGGTTTCTGTCCTTCCAGAATGTCACTGCTAACCACCGGGCCAACGATGTGATTGCTGCTGAAGATGGCCCCCAGGTCCTGGTGGGGCGATTCATGTACGGGCCCCTCGACATGGTGGCTCTGACAGGAGAGAAGGTATGGAGGCTGGGCCATCCCCTCCCGGCTGCGTGGGCACCAGCTGTCTCGTGTTTTCCATATGGCACGTGGGGTGAGGGCTCCAGGAGGGCTGGGATCGGAGACACTTGCCCTGCTGGGCAGGTCAGAAAGGGCAGGCAAGGAGCAAGGGATGAACTTGAGGCATCTGAGAAGACAGTGTGGCTGCAGTGGAGTGAGAGGGTGCTAGGAGCCAGGAACTATTGGCCAGGACCTTAAGCCCTGGAGTCTGCTGTCTTGGTAGAGCACTCCCTGGCGCAGCCCCTAAGCCAAGTTGCAGCCCCCCAGCCTTCACTGAGTCCCCTGGCCCCTTTGCTGCCTGCAGGTGGACATCCTGGTGATGGCAGAGCCATCTTCTGGCCGCTGGGTGCACCTGGACACAGAGATCACCAACAGCAGTGGCCGAATCACGTACAGTGTGCCGCGGCCCCGACGCCTGGGCGTCGGTGTCTACCCTGTGAAGATGGTCGTCAGGTGAGACTCAGGGGACGTTCTCATGGTGGTTTCACCCATTTTCATGACCCTTCCAGCCAGGCCTCTCCAGAAGACAGGGTCCTCGGGGTGCTCTCTTTTGGTCCTCATCCCTTTTTGTGGGGGACAGAGGAAAACGGATGACATCATCACCCAGATTCTGTTTGGCCCTGCCCCCAGCCTGAGCTCTGACCCCAGCCACAGGCTGACTTCTGGCCTCAGGCGACCACCTGGCTCTGAGCAAACAGCTGACCACAGGTAGTACCTTTCAGGGGCGATCAGACCTGTGCGATGAGCTACCTCACGGTGCTTCCCCGCGGCATGGAGTGTGTGGTGTTCAGCATTGATGGGTCCTTTGCGGCCAGCGTGTCTATCATGGGAAGTGACCCCAAGGTCCGGCCAGGGGCAGTGGACGTTGTCCGGTGAGTGCTACTTCCCTGCAGCGGACCCGTTCCCCCAACGCTGCCCCCACCAGGGCGGGAGCCGGCAGACCGGAACCTGGGGGAGGTGGATGTGGCTTTTTCTTTTGGTTTCCTCTAGGAATTTCACTGGTCTCTGGGCCAGGACCGGGAAGTCCTGGCTTCCCCTCCAATATTAATTTACTGAGCATCCCTCAGAAACTCCCCACCACTTTCTAGACCCCAGTTCCTTCCTCCCTGCCCCCCCCCTTCCTCCATTTATTCTAACATGGTCTGAGCATTCTCTGCAGTGAATCAGGCCTAGTCGCTCACATTCTGACCCCAATCAGGATAAAATTAGTGTGTTCTGATGATCTCTTGCTGTGTAACAAATGGCTCCAAACTCCGCAGCTTAAAATAATCATTTATTATTCTGTCTCATGTTCCTGTGGATTGATGGGTTCTGCTGAAAGGTTCTCATGTGGGGTTTCTCTAGCAATTGTAGTCAGAGGGTGGTCTGGGCTGCGGGCCATCTGAAGGCGCCACTGGGGTGGTGTTCAAGAGGGATGGCTCATGAACGCTGGTCCCTCTTTCTGTCTCTCCATGTGGCCACTCCAGGTAGCTAGCCTGGGAAGTCTAAGACTGTTCAGGTTTTCTACAGGGTGGCTGGCTTCCCCTGGGTTCTAGAGACCCAGGGGGAAGCTGCAAGCCTTCTTATGACCCAGCCTTGGGAGTCACAGTGTCCTTCCCACTGTATTCTATTGGTTATAAGCTAGTTGCAGGATCAGCCCAGATTCAAGGGGGAAGGGACCACGTAAAGGTGTGAACACTGGGACTCATGGCTCACTGGGGGGCCATCTTTAGATACTAGCCAACACACAGTGCTAGCTGAGAGATGGGAGCTATTCCAGCTCAGTGCAGAAAGCAGAGCAGGCTTCCTGGGAGAGGTGACATTTAAGATAGCTCCTGAAGGATGGAGATTATATATATATATATATATGTTCACTCAATCCATGCTATTGTACAAATATTAGCAAATGAAGAAAGAGGAAAAAGAAAGCACACAATGCATTTTGATAGGCCAAGAAGGAGGACACAAGGTGACAAAGGCAGGAAAGAGCAGAACACATGTGGGAAGCAGGTGGGACAAGTTCAGGGTAGTTGGATTTTGGAGGCCAGATTAGGGCAGAGCAGGAGTTGTGGCTAGAAACACAGCGTCTCAGGGCTATTTTATTGCTAAGAGGAGTGCAAAAGGGTCTTACCAATAGAAAAGCAAAAGAGCTACCACGTCAGCCCCTCTCACCTTCCTTGCCTCCCTCCACCCCTGCCTCCATCCATCCTTCCCTACGCCAGGTCTGTGACGGGCCCTGGTGCAGAGAGAGAGAGATCCCAGTTCTGTGAGGAAGACAAGTCATGGGCATGAGAAACTGACCTAGGACTCCCAAGTGATCAGACCCCCAGGAGTGGAGCAGATCCTGGGCCCTGAGAGTTCCTGGGCTTGGGGCAGGGACTATCCTGCCTCACCCCAGTAGCAGTGATCACTTTGGGGAGAGAAGACTAGCCTGGCTCAGGGGCTCCTAGGAAATTGCTGACCTAATGATGCCCACTGGCCCTGTGGGAACAGGTCCCGTACATGCTCAATCTTATCTCAGGGGTCAGCCTCCCCCTTGTATCCCCGTTATAACATCGTCTCCAAACCCCCTCCCGAGTCAGCATCCCACAGCTGGGAAGGGGAGGCTGTAGTCCTTCCTGTCTGGGGAGCCATCTGGTGCTCTCACCTCCTGCCCGCGGGCTCCTGGGGCCACTGTGATACTCCCCAAATCTTGCTGCTCATCAGAAGCTGCTTTTTGTCATCGCAGATCACTGGACCCCACCTTAGAACTAACCAGAGTCCCTGGGGGTGACACCTGGGCCTGTGCATTGTTACCAAACCAAATCTAAGGGATTTGGAAACCTCCAATCTGTAGTAGCCAGTTGGTGGCTGGTGCCACAGAAGCTCCCAAACACGTATGGGCTTATCTGACCTCTCACAGCTAGGATGCCATGTGAGGGCAGCCATGCGGGCACAGAGAAGAGGCTGATTCTGCTTGGGAAGTAGGGAAGCCTTCTTGGAGGAGGAGGCCTGGAAAGATGGGAGGATGGAAACAGAAGGAGATGGAGCCATGAAAGCTGTCTAGGGGAGGGGTCTGCAGCAGGAGCACAAGGCTTGTCTGGGGCAGCCAAGCAGCTCCACGTGGCTTGGGGAGGCCAGGTTCAAGCCACAGCATGAAGGGTCACTAGTGCAGAGAGGGCTTGTGACCTCAGGGAACTGGGGAGCCAGGAATGGCTGTAGGCAGAGGAGTAATAGGGTTAGATTTGTGATTTACAGACATCGCCATGGAAACCGTGTAGCGGATGACAATAAAGCAACTGTATGGAGCATGTGCTGTAGGCGTGTTTGGGATTAACTAATTTCATCCTTAGGATGACCTGTGTGGGAGTTGCTGTTATCATCCCCATTTTACAGATGGGGAAACTGAAGCCCTGGGGTTAAATAACCTGGCCGAGGTTGCAGGCACGAGTTAGATTGGAGCAGGGAGCGGGGGTGCTGCAGGCAGAGAGGCCTCCCAGGAGGTTCTTGTAGTGGCTCAGGTGAGAGATGGGGCCTGAGCTAAACCTGAGAAGTGGATCAGAATGAGGGTGTGCAGCAAAGACCCTGCCTGGTGGAAGGAAAGGCCGACGCACTGATTAGAGGAGCAGAGGTGGCAGGAGTGGGAGGATCAGCTGGCTGTGGGCATGTGGCACTTATGATCCACCCAGGACTCACTGGGCTTAACTGGGAACGTGGATTTGGGGGGTTTTCCTAGTGCTCCTGGGAGCAGTCCCTCCAGCTTCGCGGGAGAGCAGCAGGTGGGGAAGGCCCCTGGGCAGCGGGGTGGCTGGCATGGGGCTGGGATTGGGTGGGACCCTGCAATGCTGTCTCGCCAGACACTGGCAGGACCTGGGCTACATGATCCTGTACATCACGGGGCGGCCAGACATGCAGAAGCAGCGGGTGGTGTCGTGGCTGTCCCAGCACAACTTCCCACAGGGCATGATCTTCTTCTCTGATGGGCTGGTGCACGACCCGCTGCGGCAAAAGACCATCTTCCTCCGCAACCTTGTGCAGGAGGTGAGTGTCCGGCCCTGAGCGGGTGGGGGTGGGGGGCTTCAGCCTGGGAGGGGATGAGACCTCCAGGACCCTCCTCCGCACTCTTCCCCTCCTCCCTCAACCCTGTGGGGCCTCATCCATGTACCCCACCATATTTCACTGCACAAGCGATGCCTCGTTTGCAAAGCACATTCACGTGGATCTCACTGGATCTTTTTATAGCCCTGCAAGGTAGGTACTATTATCCTCAGTGACAGATGAGAAAGGCGAGGCTCACTGACTTGCTCATGATCTCAGAGTCAGACTTTCATCCTTTATCTCCTGGCCTTAAAGCCTACACTCTGGTGTCTGCATTTGGTGATTCACTTAACAGAAACCTAAGTGCCTGTTGAGTTCCTTACCCTGTCCTAGGTCTTGGGGCCACACAGAGATAAACAGAATGTGGGACATGCTCTCCAGAGCTTTGACCTAGAGCTACCATTTGGTTCTCTCAGTGTGTTCCCAGGACCCTCAGCACAGCACCCCTGGGAACTCATTAGAAATGCAGATTCTTTGTCCCCTCTCAGACCTACTGAATCAGAAACTCTGAGGAGGGGCCCAGCAAGCAAAAATGTCTTAACAAACCCTTCTGACAGTTACAAAATTTTGAGGACTGCTGACCTAGAGCAGGGGTTGCCAAACTGTGGCCCCGGGGTCAGTCTTGCTCAGAGCTTACTTTTATATGACCTGTGAGCGACAAATGGTTTATATACTTTTAAATGATTGACTGAAAAATCAAAAGAAGAATAATATTTCCTGACATGTGGAAGCTCTATGAAACTCAAATTTCAGTGTCCATAAATAAAGTTTTATTGGAACACAACCAGGGTCATTTGCTATGTGTTGTCTATGGCTGCTTTGGGGCTACAATGGAACAGTCAAGCAGTCGAGTAGTTGCAATAGAGTGCAAAGCCTAAAATATTTACTATCTGGTCTTTCACATAAAAAGTCTGCCAATCCCTGATCTATAGGAAGAAAGACATGTAAATCGACAATTTACTGGTGGATAATTTAAAAAGGCCTATTTGCAAATAGAAGCGAAAGGACTGGCGAGGCCAGCAAAGGCTTCTAGGAGGTGGTAACTTTTGAGCTGAGTTTTGAAGCATGAGTATGAGTTTGTCAGGTGGCCAAAGAATCAGCATGTGCAAAGGCACTGAGGTATGAAAGAACCTGAGACAATCTCAGAGCTGCCAGCATCCCAGATGGGAGCGTATGCAGGGTCAGACCCAGGTCAAGTGGGAGCTGAGGCCCTGAAGGTCATCAGGGGCCTGGCCTTGCAAACCAGGCAAAGACCATGAACTCTCTGCTGAGGGCAATGGGAAGCCATGGAAGAGCTTAAAGCACGGAGTGGCAGGATCTAATTTGGGTTGTATAAAGATCCTTCTGGTAAATGTGTGGAGAGCAGATTGGTAGGAGAAATGAGAGGCAGGGAGGTCAGTTAGGAGGCTGTTGCCCAAACAAGAGACAGGAAGACCAGAATCCAGGTGGGGGCCATGGATGGAGAAAAAGGCATTGGTGATTCAGGAGGTAGAATTGTCAGGAGTCAGTGATGGTTGGATGGAAGGAGTGAGGAGCTCTCAGATGTCCTTCCTGAGTGCCCAGAAGGGACTCAGTTACTACTAACCAGACCGTGGTCTCCATGGAGGCAGAGCTTGTGTCTATTTTCTCACCAATATGTCTCTGGCATCTGGGGCAATCATGGCACACTGTAGGCATTCCATAAATGTTAGAATGAATGAATGAATGAAACAAGAGGGGACACAGAAGAGGACCAGGCTGGAAGAAGATGAGCTCATTGGTGGACATGTCGAGACTGGTATAGCCGTGGGACACCAGCAGGTCAGAGAAGCCATGGGAGGGGGTGAGAAGAAGCTGTGCTGGGCCCCCTGAGAGCAGGAAGAGGAGAGAGCCAGATGGGGAAGGGGTCAGGAGAGAGAAGCTTCCTGGTGTCAGGGAAGAGAGGGTTTCAAGGAGAGCGTGTCCTTCTTGGGAAGAGGTGTGGTTTGGTGAGAAATGTCCTCATGATGAAAACTGGACACTGATGACCTCAGTGAGGAAGGGACACCTCAGAGAGTCAAGGGGGCAAAAGTGGTGGGGTGAGGAGCCGAGAAGGTGGGTCTTGGCTCCAATGGGTAGTGCAGAAGGGAGTGCACTTGCTGGATTGAAGTTGCAGGAGTGAGCCTGTGTGTATCAGGAGGTGGGACAGGGTGGGACAAAGAGGCTGCTCCTTCCTTTGATCTAAAGGCGGGTTGGGAATAAACCAGTGAATAAGGAGAGGGGCCGGGTGGGCGGAGGAAGCCCTCTCTTTGGTTCGACGCCCAAAACAAAGTCACCCGCAGGACTGGGTGGAAACTCAGGGAGAGAAGTAGAAATTGGGAGAATTTTTTGGGGGGTTGGGGGGGTGGTAGGGCAGAAAGAATATGTGGGGCCAGAGCTGCACGGTTTTGTTTCTCCAGCAGCTCTCAGCAGCCAGCGGATAGAAATGGAGAAGGTGGGTGTGAAGAAATTCCAGGCTGAGGTGTGGCCAGGCGGGTGTGGGAGGAGGATGTGAGGCCAGAGAATCCAAGGTGGTGCCCAGAGAACACAGGGAGGCTACAGGGGCGAGGAGGGGGGGAGGCCGGAGGGGTTTGCAGAGGATGAGGGTGTGCCTGAGGCTGGAAAGGCTGTAGGAAACCTGGGGGGGAATGCAGGCATTCTGAGTTCAGAGGGGGCAATTCTGGGTTCAGTCCCGGAGGTAACCACCACCGACCTTAAAAAAGGCAAGACATGCAGAGGCTCAGGTGGTTGGCAGGTCATCCACATGGACAGGAGGTCATTCCAGTGATGGCGGCCCTAGGAGGAAGGAAAGCTGTGTGGCCTTCAACCAAAAGTCTCAGTGAGCTTGGAGGGAGGGTGGGGTGGGAGAAAAGATGACATTAATGAGAGACTCAACAACATGAGGAGCAGTAGGATGGTGAGTACCTCAAAGGAGCGGGTGCTTTCATCCTGGTGAGGTGGGTGACGATCTGCAGGTGACCCTGGAGTGAGGAGGAGCTGGGCACTTCTGTTAACTGGGATGAGGCTTCTGGAGAGACCAGTCAGCGCTGGGGAGTGGCCAAATGGTGTGTCGTCGTCTGATGCCATGTGGATGGTACAGGGTCAGAGGCCAGACAGAACTGGCTGCAGTCCTGGCCCGTAATTTCCTTGTCCACAAGCAAAGGAGCTTTGCTGGTTGTTACGTAATCTATGCATAATGCTGACCGAGTGGGGTCAGCAAATTGTGAGCTTGTGACTTGACCCGCAAAAGCCCTGTATCAGGCCTGGGTGCAGGGTGGCGGCTGGAAAGGGAGGCCACTGCAGGGTGAACCCATGACTTGCAGTCCATCGGTGTGCAGATACAGGGAGCCCTCAGCAAGGGCTCCTGGGGGAGGTCTAGGAATCCTCTGGGGAATGGTTTCACAGGGCCCCGCTCTCCCTCCATGAGCTGCCCTGTGTTTCAGTGCTTCATCAAAATCAGCGCTGCCTATGGCTCCACGAAGGACATCTCTGTCTACAGCGTGCTGGGCCTGCCGTCCTCCCAGATCTTCATTGTGGGCCGGCCCACCAAGAAGTACCAGAGGTAGGGCCTGGGGAGGGGTGGCAAAAGGGTAGGGGGGAGTAGGTGGTTCATTCCTTTATTTGTTCATTCCTTCATTTGCTCATTTATTCATTCATTCAACAAATACTGCTGGGCACCTGCCTCTGACCAGGCCCTGTGTTGGGAGCAGGGGAGAGTCCCCAGTGGAATTGGATGTCATGCCATCCAGTCTAGTGGGGAGATAGAAAAATTTGCAGACAATAACAGTGCAGTGTGGCAAGAGCCACGATAAAAGACGGGGAGCTCAGAGACTTGCAGGGCCCCAGCCAGGAGCAGCTAAGCTGTACTCGGGACAAGGCTGGTTTTCAGGAGTTTGAAGGAATTGTCCAGGAAGGGCCCGAGGTTGGAGGAACGTTTGTGACAGGGGCAGCAGCAAAAGGAAAAGGTCAGGAGATGACAGAGAATATGTATATTCTGGGAACGGCAAGTGACTCAGCCTGGCTGAGTGTGCTGTGGGAGGGAGGGAGGAGAGGGGGCTGGTGTGGCAGTGCTTTCTCTGGGGTCTGTGTGCCTTGCCAAGTTGGGACTTGAACTCCCCTGAGTGAGTCTGTGATTCAGAGAGATCCCTCCAGCTGCAGGTGGAAGGCAGATGGAGGAAAGGGAGGGGAGCAGAGGCAGGGCGGTGGTAGGGAGGAGAGAAGGCAAGGGGTCTGAGAGGCATTTCTAGGCACGATGGATTGGACTTGGTCATGGATCAGATGTGCGAGATGAAGGAAAGGGGAAGCCAAGGATGGTGGCCATTTCTAGCTTGGTAACCGGGCGCCATTATTGGAATGAGAAGCAGATGGAAGGAGCAAATGGAAGGGAAGGGGGTGATCTCCTTTTGGGGCACGTTGAGTGTGAGGTGTCTGACAGCAGGTGGTCGGAAGGTGGAGGGACCTCAGAGTGGGGACAGGTAGAGCAGTGCTGCTCTCAAACTCTAGATGCACACACAGATCACGTGAGACTCTTGTTTAAATGCATATTCTGATTCTGGGGGCCTCGGATGGGGCCTGAGAGTCTGCCTAACAAGGGTCCAGGTGCTGCTGCTGGTCCAGGGACCACATTTGGAGTAGCAAGCTGAGGACACAGTGGGGGGATTGGCAAGGGCAGCTAGCTAGGCCCGGGGGCGGGGGGTGTCAGAAAATGACGCTGTCGGGAGGTGGATGATGGGAGAGGCTTATATTTGGGGATTTTAGTGTAAGTGATGAAGATGGGAGTTTCGCCCCCATCAAGCATCTAGAGGACCCTCTCCAGTGACCCAGGCGTCCAGACAGAAGCGCTCAGTGGTCCAAAGCAGGATGGGGGACCTTGAATGGTACTGAGCTTCTCTGTGGAACCTCCAGAGCTTCCCATTTTCCGAATTCTACGGAGAAGCTGGAGCCCCGGTGTCAAGGGTTGGTGGGGGGAGGATGATGCTGGGGGGCCGGGGGCAGGACTAGGGGTCTGCCCTGCCCTGCCGGCCTAACGCCTGTGCCCTCCGCAGTTCCTGAGTGAAGGCTACGCCGCACACCTGGCCGCACTGGAGGCCAGCCACCGCTCACGCCCCAAGAAGAACAACTCACGCATGGTCCTGCGCAAGGGCAGCTTCGGCCTGCACGCACAGCCCGACTTCCTGCGGAAGCGCAACCACCTGCGCAGGACCATGTCGGTGCAGCAGCCGGACCCACCCGCCAACCCCAAGCCCGAGAGGGCCCAGAGCCAGCCCGAGTCCGACAAGGACCACGAGCGGTCCCTGCCCACGCTCAGCTGGGCGCGTGGGCCCCCCAAGTTTGAGTCGGTGCCCTGAGGGCTGGGCTATGCGCGGAGCAGGGGGGCCCTACCAGGCTGCCTGCGGGGACTGGAGCGCTGCCTTCTCCCCGACACAGGCGTTTTCCTGCTTTTTCCCTCCCGTGTCTGTCCAGCAGTGTCTGACCACAAGGGGGAGGGACCCTGCCCGGCCTTGGGACTCCCTAGGCTGTAAGGGGGCTGAGATCCGGGGTCTCAGCACAGCTGCTGCTGCCTCCCCCGTGCCTCCGACTTCAAGCCCAAGTCAGGGTTGATGTCTGTTTAATCCTGGGGGCAGGCATGCCCGGAGCTGGAGTGTTTGACAAAGTCGATCATCTTTCTGAGTTCCTGAGGCTTCTGCAGCAATGCTAGGCAGGCCCTAAAGGGAGAAGCCGCCAGACCAGAGATAGACAGTCGCTGGCAGGTACAGCTCCTGGGCTACCTGGTGGAGGAGCACGTGGCATTCGTGCCTGCCCTCCCTGTGACATCCTGGGTTACCATCTTGAGCCTGGCTCTCTTATGACGAAGTGGCCACTTTGGGGGAGTGAGAAGATGTCCCCTGGACCCATCCTATGTTCAGGTGTCTGTCCATAGCCCTTGGGGGCAGGGTCTGGTGCTGACGGTCTGTCCTCCTGCACCTGTTCACATCTCCCTTCTTGTCCTCTGTATCTTCACCATTCTCTCGTGGCAGTTGAGGACAATTGTTCCTCTTCCCAGAGTCCTGCCTAGTGCCCTCCCCTGTGAGGCTTTGGCCGTGGGCTCTGGCCTCACTGAGCTGGCTGTGAGCCCTTGAGCCAGTTGCTTGCCCTCTCTGGGCCTTATGTAATTGAGGGATCTCAATTGCACCAGCTGGAGATTGGTGCGAGGTTTTGACTCCTAGGCTGTCCCGTATTTCTGCCCCCTGAGGCATTTACGGCCTAAGAACCCCTCAGAGTGCTCAGTGATCTATACCGTCCCCGCAGTCTGAGAGTGGAGCTTTGGTGGACCAGGAGGGAGCAGGTATTGCCCCCCCCCACTTCAAAGGAAGCCCCTGTAGGTGGGGGCGGTAGAGGTCCCTCCTCCTCCATGGAGAGATTTGCTTCGCACTGATACCCAAACCCAGTGTCCCAGGGACAGAGGCATCTTCCCAGAGGGCACTGATCTGACTCCTCCTCCCCAGTTCTGCCCAGACTGATTCTCCCTTTTGGCCCCTGAAAGGCATGAGCTGAGATCCCAGAGTTCTGGGGATTCATGTAGTTTTGGCTCAAACTGTTGTATTCTCTTCCCTTCCCCCTACCACTCAGCTTGGTTTGGTGCCCATAACTTCCTCCTGGGTCATGTGCTGGGCCACTGGCCTGAGCATTGGTCTCCTGCACGCTCCCCCTGCTCTCTGGCCCAGGCTCACACCTGCCACGTGGGGCCGCCAGGGCTTGCGTCGGAGCCCCTGTGGGCTGTCACTGAGGCCGGCCCAGCTCTTTCAGCCAGGGCTCTGTCCCAGAGCCCAGACTAATGTATACACAGCAAGGCACCTGTGGCAGCTCAGTGTTGCTTCTACTCATTGTCTACCTCTTGCACTTCCCATGTGGCCAGTGTCCTCCCAGACCGCAGCTGCTGGTGGGGGCGGTTGGCACCACCGGCAAATTGGGCACCCTATTGGGGCTGGAGGGGGGGTCCAGGCTCCCAGCCCCCACCCTTGCTGTCTCCACTAGAAACGCGTCTTCTCCAGCCTGCCAGTTCCTGCCGCATCCGCCCCACCTGTGTCTCAGCTCTGTGCTCCACTTTCAGCCCTGCATATGCATTTAAGCAGCACTGAGCTGCTGCTGGCAAGTCTGCTGCGGAGGGGTGAGCACCCTCAGCTTCCTCTCTGGTCCTGCCTCCTGGCAGTTCACATCCTTCCTTTCACATGTCACCTTTCATGGCTCTCCATAAGGTACCAGCTCATGTGGCATAGCTGCCTCAACCCTAATCCTTCCCTTCCTTCCCCAAATATACCCTGAGTTAAATTTGGGCAGACTTGGTCTGATTCTCAGAAACTCTACCGTCTCCTTTTTTGGAGAAGCCACTGATGTATTACTTTCAAATGATACAGTAATTATCGTGAGATACTTCTCCCCAAGTTCGATTCCCTCTGCCCTTTCTGAGAACTCCAGGCTTGGAGCAGGAGAGAGAAAAGCATGCTGGGCGGGACCCTGGGGGAATTCGGAGTCCACCTGAGCAGGGTTCTGTGGTTCTAGGGATGCAGGACCCAGCAGGAGAGCCGCTACCCCTGCCTTCCCAGAGCTCCGGATTGGGGCTCTGAGGACTCACACTTGAGATGCTGAAAATGTACAGTGAGATACTGTGAGCACATGCTCTAGCAGCTTTAGTTGGTGTGTGACCGCCTATATGTGGGGTTCTGTGTAGTGAGTGTCCAGACTCAGACAATGAAGGTTTCAGTAATGCTTTCCCGGCAACTCTGTAACCAATATGCACTTTCTCTACTAGTGGTTTGTTCAGTTTTGTCTGTCCAGTTACATTGGAGAAAAACAAAGAACCAAGTCGTGCTGTTCTCTGGAGGGGGGCCGCTGCCTCTCCCCGAGTAGTTCTGTGACCCATGTCTGGCTGTTTTCTAGAGAATTCTTCCTGCTTCCGGTGTGCTTGCTCCTTGGGAGCTGGAAAACAGATCTTCCCGCCTGACCAAAGCTCCCTGTTTCTCATGTGGCATGTTTGTTCCTTCCAGTTTGGTGGCTGTCCTGACCGAGGGCCTGCCTGCCGCCTTCCTCTCCGTTTGCCCCGTTGGGGGTTCAGGGTGCACCCGAAGCTGGGGCCCGCTCTTCTGGCATCATGGTTTTTTTTTTTTTTAAGTGCTCAACTCCTCCCTTAGGCTCTGCAAAATATTTTTTTTTTAAAAAGGAGACGTTTCATGCATTTGGATGAATGGCCCTGCTGCCTGGATACTGAGCCAGAGAAAACAAACATGTTTGAACCCCAGTAGTTCAGAGATTACTAGGGGGTAGGCTCTCTGAAAGAGGGGAGGCTGGGTCTCATGGCTTTTAAACAAACTCCTTTTACCACTCTGGAGCCCATACCCACACCCAGAAGTGTCCGGCAGACAAAATGTGTCACCAATTTTTAAATGAAAGTTGGACTGGAGGCAGAGTCCAGAGGTGGCACAGTTTTGCATGGACACTCTCACACCCAGCCTAGGTGCAGCCCTGCCCAGGAGGGGTGCCCTGACTGCGGAGAAGCCTCGCAGCTGACCCCGCCTTAAATAACCAACTTTCCCGCGGAATCCCGGGGGTTTGGGTGCCAAGTGCTCTGAAACCTATTCTCTTTGGCTCAGCCAAAAGAAAAGTCACCTTCTTCCTTCTGCTCCCTCTGGGCTTGGGGAAACTTTCTTAAAAATCATAGTTAGGGTTAAGTCCAAGCACGTAGGCCTGGTCTGGGCCCTGTTCTCCTTGCTGAGGAACCAGCAGAGTGGTTGGGAGAAATATCAGTTGGATACCACTCTTGTTGGGACAAGGAGAGGCAGGTGACACCAAAGAGGGGCAGGACAGGAGGGCAGCTCACTCATGGGACCCCCACCCTCGGATCCCGCTGTCCTTTTCTATTTGTTTACTTGGTGGTGACAGCCTGTCTGATCTTGTCCGTGGTCTGACTGTTTCTCAGTGTGTAACTCAGTATTATCTGTGGTGGATGGTTCTGTGGTGAAAAAGGTTTATTATATTCCTCATGGCTGCCTTGTACAAAATCCGTTAGAAAAGAAAATGTAAAATATCAGATTTCTAACAAGACAAAAACAGCATTACGGAGTTACAAGATTTTTACAACTGGTCTTGATTTTGATGTGAGCTGGTTTTTAACTCTCAAATGTTGTCACTTAAATAAAAACCTTATTTGCCTTTAACATGTGCTTTGCTCTGAACGAAGCTGAGAAAACTTTCCCGTTGCTCCTGTTCTCCCTGAGCTGGGGGCAGACTGGCTCGGAGTGGGGGTGAGTGAAGGGAAAAAAAAAACCTGGCTCCAAACCACAGACCTATGGCTCAGAGAGGCATGGGAGACAGCGGTGACAGAGAAGAGATGTCAGATACAGAAAGGGAGTCTTTATTATGAAAAAGCCACGTTATCTAAGAAAGTTACACACTGGTTTCTTTCGAATAAAATGACAAAGCAGATTTCTTAAATAATTTACGAAGGGCAGAAATTGCTGCTGAGCAGTGCTGCCCCTCCCTGCACACCCACAGTGCCCTGTGCTGAGAATATAAATAAGCACTTGAGGGCCCAGGGTCTCAGAGCCTGGAAATCCCTCCCAACCCATCTTCCAGAGCAGGGACGGGAGCTGGTTCCCAAGAGCCTAGGCACTTGGCGACACAGGAGGTGACTCTTTGCAGACCCCCCTGCCCGCCTCCTGCGTGCACAGGTCAGTGCTCTCAAGTGTCTTCTGGAGTCTGCTTCATGTTGTAAACGAGGCAAACACAAGGCTCAAGTGTGGGGTGTGTTTCAAAGCCCACAAGGGGAGTAGGATGGGCAGTGCTCCCACCCTCCCAGGTCTTCCTGAGTCATTCTCGGGCTGTGGCAGGCAGTCACTGGCAGGTTCAGGTGTAGCTGGAGCAGGAGAGCAGAGGCCCAGAGCAGCCCCTACCTGGGCCCTTTGTTAGTCGTTTCCTTGTTAGCAGTGGACAAGGGGCTTCTTCCAGGAACTCATGGGGAGGCACAGATCCTGGGTGCGGGGGGCGTGGGAGACAGGTATGGTTTCTTTCCTGTAAGAAAGAGCTCCCTTCAAGCACTTCACTGTGCTCAAGCAGGGCAAGCTTGAAAACTGTAGGCCGCCCCTGCAAATGAGGAGCTGGAAGGTGGCTCTAGCTACTTGGGGTCCCAGTATGCTCAGTTTGTGATGCAATCAGTGAGCTCAGCAGCTCTGGCTCCGAGCATGTAGGAAGACTGCACACTTGCTACTTTGCAGGGCCCATCAGTTCTGTGGGTTTTTCCAGAAAAGACTCAGTTCTTTAACATGCCTCCAAGTATGCGTGAGTGCTCATACAGGACAGGGAGGAGGCGGAGGAGGGGGACACTGAGAAAGATGCTCGGGAGGGAGGGGGGCATTACCTGAAGGGCACGATCCTCAATCACGAAGGAGAGACATAGTCATATCGCTGCTAGAGATGGGAAGGTAGGAGAGACAGATGCCATTGGGCACTGCAGGCTCTGAGGGCCCCTACCAGTCTGGACTAGACAAGACCAGACCTGGCAACATGGTGGCAAGGTGGCCCACTTGGCATATAGTCAGAACTGGCAGGGGCCCGCCTAAGAGCCCATCACAGCCAAGAAGCATGGCCCCAAGTTAGGGCAGCTCCAGGCCCAGGCCCTGCCCCCAAGATGGGGTTCTGAGCAGACAGATCAGGAACTGCATAGCAGCCACGTAACTTTTCCCAGTTCTATGGGCAGGCAGGGCACAGGGGAGCCATGGGGAGTGTTGGAAGGAGGGCAGTTCTTTCAGGAACCAGATACCCAGCCTGGTGAGGTTTCAGGTGATGGACAAATATGAGGGCCCAAGGCCCAGGGGCCCATGGACATCCAGGGTGCATCCTTAATCACTGCCCCAGTCTAGGTCTTTCATCCCCTCTCATGTTGCAGAAGAGGAGTCCGAGGCTCAGAGAAGAGGAGGGACTGGCCATGGTCACACAGCGGGCCAGAGCCAGAACCAGAGGCCTGCCTAAAAGATGGCATGACTCCAGGGGGACCCTCCCAGCCACTTCACTTTGAAGCATGGGATGCCAACTCACCTCTCTTCGGCCACAATGGCCTCATCCAGCTCTTGGGACAGCTTCTGGAGATGCTGGATTCCTGCCCCCACAGGCTCCAGGTCGCTGTCAGACTCACTGGACAGAAGGAAAAGCCCCAGGCACCAGTGACTAGTTGAAAGCCTATGGCAGGAACCCCTCCCACCCAGCACTGCAGCCTGGGGCCAGTGGGGGCTGGTCATCACCCCAGACCCTCACTCCAGGAAGTGACATCAGAGTGACTTGGAGCAGCTGGCAGAGAACAGGTGGGTCAAGGCTCATGAGGCCAAGGTTAAGGGCAGGTGCTCTTACAAAAAAAGCCCTGCTATTCCCCACTTGAGTATCAGCTTCCAGATGGCTTAAAATCTGGCTTTTGGGCTCACTTCTTCCTTTTACAGATGGGAAACTAAGGCTCCATCTTTCCTGAAGGACTTTCCCAGATTCCCCAACTAGTGGGGGATGGACAGAGCTGGGTCTGGATATAGACGTGATTAAGCATAGGGCGCCCCTGCTTCCAGGGAGCCCCAGGAGGGGCTCAGAAGCTCCGGGGGCCCATTAGTGTTTTGGAGGCAAGACGCTCTTCTACTTGCCTGGGGGAGCAGAGGGGCTCTGTAGAGGAGTAGGGGCTCCGGAAGGCAGCCTCCCTCCTGGACCGCCGAAGTGGGTGAGCACGAGAGCCCATCTGGGTGGAGAGGTGGTGACGCTCCCTCTCCCAGGGGCCCAGGATTGAGTGAGCAGGGGCGGTTCCAGACAGGTGGGTGCTCCTGTGGTTCAGGCTGCGAGCTGGGGGGCTACTGCCCTTCGGTGCTTCTCTCTTCCTCCTCCTGGCTTTCACCTGGTTTTCCACCAGCCACTTGGTGCCACTTTGGTAGGACTCCTGGATTCGCTGAGATTGGTACATAAAAAGGTGAGCACAGACAAACCAAGGGTGAGCCACCCCAATCTCCAAGCCATACCTCCGACCCCTCCACCTATCAGCTGTCCTACACACAAAGGCAGCTTTTAGTGTCAGGGATTAGGGGTCTAGGGTAAGGGAAACGGGTGATACCATGTGGCATGAATCCACTGCAGGGACCCGGCTCAGAGGTCGCGGCTATGAGTGCAGTGGTCAGCAGCAGAACCACTGGCTCATTGAACCTTTATTCGCCTAAGTCCAAACCCTTTCAGAACACAGATTGACCCAGAGACTCAAGGGCAAAGCTTACCCCCCAGGGTACTGTGAGATAGTCTGTCTCCCTGCCTCTGGTCTCACTCACTCTAATCCATCCTCCACCTTGGGGCAGAGATCCTTCCCAAGGGCAGTTCTGATCCATACCCTTCTATTGCTCCTCATTGCCCACAGGATCAAGACCTAATTCTTGTCTTTCACACCAGCTGGGGGATGACCGTGAAGGCTCTTCCTCAGCTAGACTGTCTTTGCCTTGAGAGTCCAGAGCTTAGAGCAAGCTCGAGTTACATTTGGTGAGTTATGTGACCTTGGGCAGGCTACCTTGTTTCATCTCTGATCCCTGGGAATAAAACAATCACAGGGCTCTTCCAGACAAGGATTAACATTTGGTTTAGAGACCTCTCTGCAAAGAGTTCAGAAACAGCTTCCCCCTCCCACGTCTTCAGATTCTCAATAAGACCCCAAGGAGAACTTCCTCCCACCCCCACTTCTCTCCTTGGAGGTCTATTCACTGTCATGGCCTCTATCCTTTCTAGATGAACCTCCGTACATCTCCATCTCCAGATTTGAAGACACATCCATCCGGAAGGCCCACAGGCACCTCACACCCAACATATGTGACATCTTTCTGCCCATACATCTCATCTGCTACCAAACCCTCTCACATCTACCTTTCAAGTAGCTCTTGAAGTTGTTCACTTCTCTGCAAAGCCAGACCCCAGACCCCCCTCATGGGAGAATCTGTTTCTAATCCCTTTTCCTTCAAGTAGCTAAAGAATAAGTTCTAATGTGCTAATCGGACCTGATTCCTACTCTTGTAAATTCTTCCCACTGGCTTTTGGGAGCATCTCAACACCTTCAGCACACTAGACCCCCCCTTTCACTGCCCCGCCTTGCTCTCTGTCCTCACGCCATACCCAGACTAAGCTCTTGCCATCTCTCTTCAGCATCTTGCTCCTCCTCAGCTCTGGGTCTGGACTCGCACTATTTCGCCTGCCTTATACACTCCTCATTCTTCCCCTTTCCTGTGTGAGTTCCATGGAATCACCTTCTCTGGAAAGCCTTCACCAGCTACACTTGTTTCTGGTTTACCCCCACCATTAGCTGCTTGCTTGCAATTTCCCATCACAATACATACAGCTCTACCATCTCATATTGTGAGGATGTTTCTTCCACGACACTGTTTTCATTCACTCACTCAATTATTTGTTGAGCACCTACTATGTGCCAGCAACTATTTGGGTGCTGGGGACACAGCAATGAACAAATCGAAGTTATTGCCTTCATGGAGTCAGTATTCTTGGGGACTCCTTAGGGCAGCAGTTGTCTGGCACCAAAGAAGCCCTCCATACCTGGACATGGTCAGCGTTACCTGTGACATGGCACCAAAGGCATTTTTAGCTGAGTGAGCTGCAGCCTGGAGGCCCTGCTGCCCTGGTTCTGGGGTTTTCAGGCGTTTCCAGGAGGGGCCTGCCCCCAGGTTGAGGCTGACTGCTGTCAGGGGCAGCCTCCGTTGGAACTGTCTGCAGAGGGAGCCCAGGGCCCTGCTGGAGGTCTCCAGCACCTCGTTCTCCTCCAGCTGCTTGTGGTCCTGGAGAGATCTCCTGCGCATGGAGACCCCCACGCTTGGCCATCGAGAGGCCATCTGCCTGGCCAAGAGTCTGTTCTGTTTACCAGCCCCTGGGGAGGTCAAAAGGCAGGTCAGCAAGGCATCCTCCATCCCATTCTCAGGCTCCACAGAAACCCTGGGTATAGGGGGAGAGATGGGATGCAGGCTCCTGCCTTGGGGTGGAGGCACTTGGCAACTGTGGCTGCGGAGAGGAGGGTGTTTCCTGAAAGGGAGGTCAGCGAGGCCCAGAAGAGGGCAGAGGCTGAACAAGGCTGGTCAGCATTTCCTGGCTGCAGCTGTCTTTTCATCTCAGCCTCCTCTCCACTGTCGCCTCAAGCAGGGAGGGAGGCAGAGTCAGGAGCGGCCCTCGTCGAGCCTCAGCACTGGGCCCAGGGCACGACGACCTGCAGCTCTTTCACAAACTCGCCCTGAGTCAACGCGCTCCTGCCCAGACCCCGACCGGCTGACCAGATCCCCCGATTTCCACCTTGCAATACCCAGACACCCCACCTGCGTGCCCGTCCTAACTAGACCTCCACGCTTCCCCCGGGGCCCAGGTCCCTTCTGAACAGAAGACCCACAACGCCCCGGCACACACTCACCCAACAGCCCCGGCGTAGACCAGAAGCCGAGCACAGATGCTCCTGGCCCATCCCAGCTGATTTGAAACTCCGCGCGGGTCCGCCCCTGACCCTGTGCTCACACCTGATTGGCCAATTCCCTGAGTCACTGTCGCGCGGGGGATCCTATTGGCCCTCTGCTCTAGCGGCTGTGAATTCTGCTCTCGGATTGGTCCGACCGTCCCCATTCATCCCTCAGGACCCCCACAGGCCTGGGCGCCCAGCGATGCTTCCCCTTTGTATCTGCAGGTCCCGCCCGCGCCACCAAGGGAATCCGCCACTGCCCGCCAGCCAGGCCCCTGCTCCACCTCCGGGACGCCCAGCCCCCGGCCGCCGGAGCGTCTTTTCAAACTATAAAGGATTCAGGCTGGTCTGATTGGGCGGGGCGAAGGCGGCCTCTAGGGCTCCGAGGGATCCCTCCCATACCGCCAGGAGGTCTCAGTGATTTTGTCACAAAGAACGCAGGGCCTGGGTTCCCGCGGATGTTTTGTTTCAAACTTCCCTCTTGGCCCTCTGCCTTCTGTGTTCACCCACGCTCTGCCCCGGAGAAAACCCATCCTAGAAGAGCGGACAGATCTAGTACACCTCCTGCTCTCCTTCAATTAAGCTCCCCCGCTCCTCCCACACCACCCCCTCCATTGAACACCCCCCTTTTCAGTTGAATGTTCCCCTCCCCTTAGCATCCAAACAAGCTAGAAAATATGCCATCAGAAACTGCCTCCACTTCCCCTCCTTTACTGGACCTCAAAGCAGAGCTGGCCACTCCACTCCTCTGTTTCCTTGCTGCCACCCTCATCTGGTCTCTCTCTCTCTCTCTCTCTCTCTCTCTCTCTCTCTCTCTCTCTCTCTCTCTCTCTCTCTACCTCTCTGGCCACTCTTGCTGATGGGCTCCTTGAAGCTCTGTCCGTAGCCTCTTCTTCATCTCTGGGTGATCTCACCCACTTCTGTGGCCTCAGTTACTGCCCCCCAGCCCACCCCATCCCCCCACACAGGACAGTGAGAACCATGAATACGTATGGTGCACTTACTATGCACCAGCTATCTGTGTTCCAAGCACTTTATATTATGAGCTCATTTGACCCTCATTTCAGCCTGCGACTAAATGAGGAGACCAAGGTATAGACAGGTTAGGTTGGGCTCACATTTCCCTGTTAACATGTAGCAGGGCCAAGGGTTCAAACTCTGCCAGTCTGGGGCCAGAGTCCATGTGCCGCACCACCACAGCACACTGCTTCTCTTCCTTCTGCACCTTTCCCATACAGGTGTATCCACTCACCTCCTGGATCCCCAGCTCCTCCTGGGCATTGCAGGCACCTGACACCAACGCGCCCCAAAGGACATCTCCTTGGTCTCCCCCAGCCCTCTCCTCCTTCCCCATGTGCCCTCTCTCATGTCTCTCCAAATACTTAACGGTGTCTGATAAATTAAGCATTCTGCTAAAAATGGGCCACAAAACATTCCTTACTCTCATGCAGCTCACATCTAGTGTGTGGGAAGAGATGGACATTAATGAGTTAAATAACCAAGAATTCATCAATCAAAGAAAATCATGACACAAAAATGGTTATTTAGGTCTGAGACCTAGAGAGTGAGTTAACCAAGCAAAGAATGTGTGTGTCTGAGTGTGTATGTTTGTGTTTGAGTGTGTGTGTGTGTGTGTGTGTGTGTGTGTGGTGGTGGTGGTGAGGGGGGTTTCCTGCACAGGGATTATCAAGGGGACCAGTACCCAGGTAAGAAACCCAGCACACACACATATGTATAACTGAAACAAATGTTTCCTGAAACAATACTTGACTATGTGTGATGTCCTTTGAGATCTTATTGTTTTTTAATGCCGGTGACAGCTCACTACACTTATTTTACAATGGCTCTCTGCTCCAGTTTGCCTGTTCACCCACCTTGTTCCCTAATAGAGCTGTTTCCCAAATGTCAGAAGTGTTTGTTCCCAAGCCTGTTTATGTAAGTAGTATTTGTTATTGTAATTAGGGAATTTAATTCATACCTTTTACCAGTGAAATATGAGGGGGGAAAGCAAGGGTATTTTTAGAAAAATGAAATTGAAAGTGTGGGAAAGACTCAGTGAAGGTGAAACACTTAGAAAGTCTCTCAGGTTGGCTTGTTTCATCACAGTTGTCTGTCAGTGCCTGTCACAATGCCTGGCATGTGGTGGGCATCGATAAAACAGCTTATATTTATCCAGCCCTTACCACATGTGTGCTAAGTGCATTTCTTTATTCTGCCTTAATCCTCACAGCAACTCGGTGAAGTAGGTACTGTTTTTATTCCCATTACAAATGAGAAAGCAGATTCAGATGGGTGAAGTGTCTTGCCCGGAATGGAACAGAGTCAGAGCTGGGACTTAAACCCTGGGTGTCTGACTCTCATCCCTGAATGCTTAACCTTTGATTACATGCCTCATCAAGCACCCGGGAATGAATGAGTGAATGCAGGAAGAGGCCCTTCCTGCTTGGGGTGTTCCTACCCCTTCTCTTAGAACTGTAACTGGCAGACCAGGTGAAGGAAGAGCAGTCTCCATGGCAACTAGAGAAGGAGAAAACATTTTCTTCTGAATGAGAAGGCTCTCCCTCTGCCTTTCAGGGACTGGTGTAATGAGGGGGTGGGAAGGAGGATGTGCTGAAGTAGTCAGACTCCTAGTTGAAGGGTGGGGGCTGCAGGGGCTCCAGCACCTCCTCGTAAGAAGGAAAGCCAGCCAGTTGTTCCAAGCTGAGGCTTTCTGGGGTCCAGCTCCTGCCCTGCCCTGCCCTGGGGGCACCCTGTCCAACAGCAAAGCTTCCACCAGTTTTCTTGGCCTCATGAAACTGTCAGTCTGAGGGAAGCAAGAGACAGTCACCAGTGCAAAAATGCCATGAATGCCAAGTGCTAGGGTGCAACCAAGGTGTGTAAGGGAGATGAGGAACCCAACTGGAGCTGGGGGTCAGGGCAGGCTGCCCTTAGCATATGGTGCTTTAGCTGAGGAGTTAGTGGGACAGAATGAGGGGACGAGGTTGTCTGATAGAGGGATCTGCAAAGGCCAATGCTGGGAGGGCCAGAACATGCCAGGTTCCAGCGCCAGAGAGGAAGACAGAGAGGGCAGGGGTTGGGGTGGCAAGAGCCAGGAGCTGCAAGGCTCCTTGGCAGGAAAGGAGCTTAGGATTTATCTTGAGGGCAGCGGGAAGCCTTGGCTGAATTTGAAGAGGGGAGTGAAGTTATTAGAGTGACATTTTAATGAAGTCGGTTAGGAGGTTAGTTTGGGGGCCACGCGGTGGCTGGGGTCCATCTGGAAGCTGTGGCTTGAGTACTTCATTATTCTCAGCAGTGAAAGCGAAACCACTGGCATCGGCTTCAACATCCCCTTCCCCTCATGTCCTCCACCTCCCAACCCACCAACCGCAGGCCCAGTCTGTCAGTTCCACCTCCTCTCCATAACTCTGCAATCCCTGTGTGTCCTTTGACCTTTTTATAAAGGGAAGCGATTTAAACAATGGGAGGGTATAAATGTGAGACATGATTATATCTTTTTCTTCCATTGTTAATTACATCACAGACAGAAAAGTGCCAAAATCAGGAAGCTTAGTATAATGAATATCTATAAAGAAAACATTCATGTAACCATCACCCAGCGAAGAAACAGAACATTACCAGGACCCCAGAAGAAGCAACCCTCACCCCACCGAGTATCCTTCCCTCACCCGTCCCTGGACTTCATGGTAATCACTTTTATTTTCTTTGTAGTTTTATCATCTAAGTATCCGTTTTACCTCCTATGTATGCAGGCTGCTGTAGGTTGCTGTGTGGCTAGAGGCCAGGGAAGGGATGAAACAGAAGAGGGACACCTCTGTCTCCTCCAGCCTGATGTCCTGCCCCCAGAGAGGAATGGAGCGGGGCCCTGGGGGTGGTGGGGGGGTCGGATTACTTAGGGAGGGGTCCTGCAGGGGCCTATTCGCTGCCCCAGCCTTTGTTCCCAGGCTCAGACCACTAGGCCCAGGCTGGTCCTCTATGTTGACAGCTCCTCATGGGAGACTTTCAGAGGTGTTGGGTTTTGGGGTCCAGCTCACTGCTCCAAGGAGGCTTCTCACATTTCAGGAGAGGGAGGCAGGAGAGGTCGATTTTCCTGTCTCGGTTGAGAAAATGGAATTGGGAATAGGAGACACCCAAGGCCACAATATCAGGGAATAAGAGGTGGGATCAGCTCTTTGAATGCAGCTCTGTCTGGCTCCAAGTCCAGTGTTCTCATCTCTCCTCGTGGTAGGTCTTATGTCCCCTCTCTCTGTAACAAGTCAGTCTCTGGTCAGGAAGAGAACGGTTTTGTGGCTAGCTTTCGGAAATCTCCTCACTCCCAAGACCCAGGGGAGCCAAGGCATAAAAACTCGAACTGGCCACAAGGTGGCACCAAACGCCAAGTGTTCACATGACTTTTCACTTCAGAAAGGGGATCTGGATGCCCTGAATCAGCTCTGTTTGGGTCCCAGGACACAGGGTTGAGAGCCTCCAGAGGAGAGGGGCGAGCCCTGCTGCCCCCGGCCAGACCATGTAGGGGAGGCGGGAGTGGGGCTGGGAGAGGGCTCCCCAACTTTCCCCAAGCCCGCCCCCTCCCTCTTACTCTGGTTTAGTGTTCTTCCAAGCCAGAAACCCGCGGCTCTCCCCTCCTACCACATCACATCCTCTGTGGGCAGATAGAGCTTAGGGAGGAGAGCGGGAGGAAGTAGGAAAGAAGGAAAGCAAGGACTGCAAAGGCGGCAGGGCCCTGGCCTGGGGTCGAAAGGGACTAGGCGCCAGGGACCAGGCAGGGCAAGGGGGCTTCAGGTCTCCCTCCCTTTTCCTCTTCGGTGGCCTGAGGCCTCTCTCCTGTTCTCTCCCTGTCTTGTTTCAGAAAGTTCCAGCTGACTTCGTTTTTTGAGGTGGGACAAAACTAAAGCTGATGTAATAATGTCGGGCCTCACATCCCCGAGAGGAGCGGTGGATGGATGGGGCAGAAGGCCAGGCTGCGGGCAGTGGCCCCGACGAGTGGCTTGGGGCCGGCTTTGGGCGCTACCCCTCCTTACTGCTCTCATTTGCACCCTCCCGGTCGGGCAAATCCCAGGTCTCAGCCTGAGCGCCATCTTCCCAGAGAGATTATCTCAGTCTAGGCTGGACGTCTTCCTCCACCCAGAACCATGGAGGCTGCTCTGCTCCTGAACGTGGAAGGGATCAAGAAAACCATTCTTCATGGGGGCATGGGGGAGCTCCCAAACTTCATCACCGGATCCCGAGTGAGTGAGGCCCGTCCCCCCAGACCAGATAGGGTCTGCGTTCCCACTGTGCCACATGGCACTGCTAACAGGCTTCAGCTTTGCCGAAAAATGACCAGATGGGTCCTCCCTGGAATTATCAACCCTTGGGCACCTGGGAAGCTCTAAATTGGTGCCCATTCACTGGGCATTTTTGATACTTGGCAAAGTAAACTTTAGCATGGGGTGGGGGAAGGGCTTTGGGAATTTTTCTAGAGCCCCAAATGTTGAGTAAGAAGGAAGGGCCCCGAGGGGTCATGGTGTTTGTCCACGAGTCTCTGGTGGGCTTCCCTGGATGACGGAGCGGCTGGGTCTGTCGCCTCAGATTTAGGGCTTATTTAAGGAAGGACATCCTAACCTACAGGGTGGTCAAGAGTGGGATGGGGTCCTTTAGGAAGAAGTGGGTTCCTCATCCCTGGGGGAGTGCAGGCCAGGATGGGGATGTTCTGGGGGTCTGAGGCATCTGATTGGGACTGGATGAGCTGACTACTGAGGACAGCCCTGAGAGTTGGTGACAGTGGGGTGGCTTCTGCTGGGCCTTGGGAGGTATGTCTAGACCAGGGTCCACTCTCTTGGTGACCAGGTGACCTTTCATTTCCGCACCATGAAATGTGACGAGGAGCAGACGGTGATAGATGACAGCAAGCAGGTGGGCCAGCCCCTGCACATTATCATTGGGAACATGTTCAAGCTGGAGGTCTGGGAAATCCTGCTAACATCCATGCGGGTCAGCGAAGTGGCTGAGTTCTGGTGTGATACCATCGTAAGTAGGCCATGCTGGTCCAGTCCCTGGATTTGCCTTATACAGCCCGCCCCATCCATTTTGCAGGGCTGCTGTGTTTCCGGAAAGCAGGATTAAAACAAAACTCTGCAAGCCCCATCCTGCACCCTCCCTCCCTGGCACTATACAGATGGAGATGGAGTCATGCGAAAGAACAAGCCCTAAAGTGACAATCGTGGTATCGTGGTATCGTGGCTGGCTGGTGGGACGTGGGAGCAGGGCCATGCGCTGTAGGAGTGAGCCTGCCCACTTCACAAGCCTCACTTTTGTACAGGATTATTAGATCCTGGAGACTTCCAGCCATTGGTCTCTGTTCTGCCCTCCTCCTCCTCCTGTCCACATTGCAAAGTTGTTTTCACATTTATGGCACTCTTACAAATCACCCGCACAAATTAGCCTTCTTGTTCTGGGGCCCAGAAAGAAATGTCAGAACTCACTGGCCTTTACACAAACATTTCTTATGGAAACTTTCAAACGTATATAAAAAGTATACAGGACTTCCAAGGTCTCATCACCCAAGTGATAGCCACCGTCACCTCATGGCTAACCTTGTTCATTTCCCCCATGATCCCCTCCCATTTCTCATCCCATATGATTAAAGTACGTTCCGGACACCACATCATTTCAACTGTAAATACTAAAATATGTGTCTAGAAAAAGAAGGCAGTTAAAGAAAAAACATAACCTCAATATCATTATTACATCTTTTACAAACCCCGATAATTCCTTCAAACCAACTAATATCCAGCCACTGTTCAAATTTCTCCAGTTGTGGCCTCGTTTACTCTTTCTGGCTGGCCTAGTCAAAGAAGGATCCACACAAAGTCCACGCATAGATGTTTGTTGATATGTCTCTCACGCCTCCTTTTATCTATGGGCTCACCTCCCTTTTTTTTTTCCCTTGACATGGATTTGTTGGAGAAACTGGGTCAGTCGTCCTGTAGAAGTTCCCATATTCTGATTTTGCTAATTGCTTCACCGTGGAGTTGTCTAACATGTTCCTCTACCCCCCGCATTGTCTGGAAATTGTGCTGTGTTTCCCATTGGGAGGCACTCCATGTCTGCTTTCCTTTCATTGATTGATGGGTTCAGATGTTGACAGCCTGATCCAGCCATTACAAACTTCCCCCTTAACTGCCATCTAATGCATTTAGTAGCCATTGATGGCAGATACCCAGACTCATTATTTCATCAGGGGCCACTGACCTTTCAGAAGGGCAATTTGGGGGAGATAGAAAGAAAGAAAGATAGATCGATGATAGGCAGATACATAGATAGGGACCTGAGTTTGAACCTGCACTGTCATTTATTAGCTGTGCGACCCTGGGAAAGTCCTTTCTCCTTTCTGGACATCTATTTACTCATTTATAAATAAACAAATTTCTACGTTAAGGAGCTGTTGTGGGATTGCATGATATGATGGATACTAGGGCAAATCATGGTACAGGGCAATTGAAAAGTAGGGGCTAGTATATGGAACTAGAAGAGTATTAGAGACTAACTCCCTTGTTTTACTGATGAAGAAATGTAAGACTCAGAGAAGGAAAGTAACTTGCTTTTGGTGGAATAAGTTAAGGGATAGAATCAGGGTGGAGTCCCTGGTCCCCTCACTCCTTATCCAGCGTTGCTCCTCTCATTGGTTGTGTCAGGCTGCAATGCCACCTTCTACCACTAGGGGATCCCATCCAATGCGTTATTCATTTCTTCGTTGGCTTAACAAATACTTGTATTAGTTGAACATCTTTCCTGTGTACCAGTCCCTGTGTTATTCTTCATCCTGGTGTTTTCAATTTTTGAAAAAGATGTTCAACCTTTACCAAGCCAGGGCTTCAGAAAATTGGCTTCTTTGTGGTTTCAGTTACCTTGAAGTGGTATCTATTGACGTTCTTACAATGAGGAGCTCCTATGCTTTTTAGACCCATATGTACCTGTAATTTAGGTCACATGTTAGAGGCTTGGTCACCACAAGGGCCCCCTATCCATATGCATATTTGCTGATAGAGGAAAGCTGAGTGCATAGAAGGCTGTCAATAGATTCTTGATTTGGTTGATTGATTTGCTGTTTGTGAAAACACAAGCTGTTGTTGTATCCGTAATGTGGGCAGGGCTCTTTTTTCTTTTTTCTTTCTTTTTTTTTTTTGCTGAGCCATCCTGCCATCTGTTGGCAGCTCAGCGGCAGCTCAGCTCAGGCGAGAATTGAACCGGCAACCCTGTTGCTCAGAGCTCGCACTCTTGAGCGAGCTCTTAACCAATTGAGCCACTCGGGCACCCAAGCATGGCTCTTTGATTCCTGTGGTGTCTGTGTTTTTTTGGCCACATCAATAGTCACATGAGTGCACTGCCCATCTCATAGGCTTTTATACCACAGTGACTTAGTTTTTCCAGTAGGGCCTCCCCGCCCACCCCAACATCTACCAGCCCACAGCTGGTATGATGGCACGCATACACACACACACACACACACACACTCACACGCACCCCTTCTTGAGTCATTTACCTACCTACACATCCACCTTTTATCCATCCTTCTATCCATCCACACACCCAGGTATCAATTCATCCATTCTTTCTTTCAACCAATATCATTCATAATTCGGACTTCCATCACTAAGCATCTATCATCTATCTAGCTAGAAAATATTTACTGGGCACCAGATTTGGCCTGTGTTGCATGGTTAGGAATAAAACAGGCAAAGTCCTTGGCCCTCAAAGAACTTGCATTCCAGAGGAGGAAGCAGGCACCTAAGCGAATACAGTGCAGGCAGCTAGTGGGACGACATCATTAAATGAGGGCAGAGTGCTTTAGGGCCACAGAAGAGAGACAACTAACTGCTTTAGGACCTTAAGGAGACTTCTTCCAATGTCAGAAGATGACATTGAGCTGGGTCTTGAAGGATGACTAGGATTTCATCAGGTCTAGAAGTGGGATGAGAGGCAGCGCCACTCCACGCCAGGAAATGTGAAAAGGCTTGGCATGGTTCATTTAGTTGGCCCCTCCCTTCTATGGGGCATCTCTTGACTTCAGAATTTGAGTTTTGGAAAGACGCCACAATCAGTGGGGCAATCATGTTCATTCGACAAAGGACTTAGGAGGCCTGGTTTCCCCTCAGCAGCTCTTTGCAGAGCCCTCTGCCTGGACAGTCCTCACGGGATCACCTTGAAGTTTAGGTCTCTGCAGGGGCAGGCAGCTTCCCCCCTCCCACCCCTCCCATAAACTAGACAGGCAGGGTCAGCCAGGGGGCTCTGGGACCTTCTGCTCTGAAATGTATTCCTCCCTGTTCTACCCTACCCTCACCCTTTCCTGGGGAGATCACTGGTTTCTATGTGGGGCTTCTTGCAGGTGCCCAGTCTTGTGAGGCCAGGGGCTGCAAACTCAAATTCCACAAGGGGTCAGGAGCCCTGGTTGACTGGAGATCATCTGCCCCATCAAAAGGGGGCAGCTTACCCTCAGCTCCCATGGATGGCTGTCATGTGAAAGAGAGAGACTCCATGCGGCTGGATAGTCTGACTTTTTGAGACAAGCCAAAAATCTTCATTAGTATGTGAACTCGCTGTGTTTAAATGTTGGCAACTAATTAACAAAAACCCCCACAATGTGAAGGATGAGACAAACCAATCGGTGAGCTGATGAGGGCCTGCAGCATGCCAGTTTGCAACCTTCAGTGTAGATATAGCCCCTGAGAACCAGGCTGTGGCCTTGAAGCCCCAGAGAGGGGCAGTGTTCCCAGGGGCCCCCTGCCCCAGTCAAAGCCAATGGGCTGAGTGAGTTCTAAGGGCTGGAGTCTAGCTCCAAAGAGACCCTCTTGTGACTCTGGCCGCCCCTCTAGCCTGCAGCTGGGCAAGCAGGGCCTCAAAAGTGGGCACAGAGCTGAGCTCTTCACTCTGTTCTGCCCTCTGAGGTGCTGTCGTGTGGGGATGGGTTCTGGAGTTCTGTTCCTTCTGTCACCTTTATCTTCTTTCCTGGAATTTTGTCCCACTCTTGGCAGCATCCCACAGCCCACCATGCTTACCAGGCCCTGGCAGCACTAGGGTGGCACTGTTCAGCAGGACAAAGCCTTTGAGGTCATGGCCAAAGAGCCACCTGACCCTGGGTTCCACAGCTCACAGTTGACTAGCAGGAGGCAGAGCCTGTGAGCTGGGGGCTGCCATGCCAGGACCAGGAGGGCCTTTTACCTGTAGCAAGCTAATCCTGGGGCCTCTGCCTCCCATAGTTCAGCCTTAATCCCAACAAGCTTAACTGCCATCTGGTTACCTCTCAAAGAAGCCTAAGGCATTTGGGGCTGATCCTGGCTGGTGGGGGCAGGGAGAGGGTGACCTTCATTCCCATGCTGGTGACTTGGAGGACAAGCTGAACCATTTCTGCCCCTTCACTTCCCAACAGTGTGTCTTTACTTGGCCGTGCAGGAGCCTGAGGTGGGCCATGTCAGGACCCAGCCCAAGGAGAGGGGTTCTCAAAGGCCGTCTTATGGGCTTTCAGATGGGGCAGCTTACAGATGGGGCCGCTGAGGTTCAGAATGGCACAGGCTTGGCCTGAGGCAGAGAGGCTGATTTCCCTAGCCCTCTTCCACCTCGAGGTGAAATTCCCAGCTCCCCGAGGTGGAGGCTGTGGTGAGCTGGACCTATATCTGTACCATCTCATTTAATCCTAACCACAGCCCTACTACTAGATAGGTGCAGCCCAGGGGACCAGAGCTCAGAGAGGGGTGGTGATCTGGGCTCACTGCTCATCAGCAGCACTGTCAGACGCCAGCTCAGCCCTCTCAGGCCCCAGAGCCCCGCTCCTCCCCGTGCTCTCCACACTTCTCTCCCTGTGAGTCACAGGCTCTATGGACTCAGGGTCTCCTTGGGAGAGAAACTCATTAGAGTTGACTACAAGGGCCAGCAAGAGGCAGCATGGCATTGTGGCTAGAGCGTGGCCTCTGGAGCCGGGTTTAAATCCAGGCTCTGTCATTTCCTAGCTGTGTGACCTTAAGCAAGTTACTTAACCTCTCTGGGGTCCAGTTTCCTCATCTGTGAAAGTGCTTCCCTTGTTGGGTCATCTTGAGAACTAAAGGAGCTAACAGATGTAGAGCACTTTGCCTAGCGCAAAATGACCTGCAGCTATTAGTGGGGGTATGTTGGGGGCAATAGCTGGTCATAGCCATGGTGCAGGTGTAGTGGGGCAGCAGGATTCCTGCTGGCGGGGCTCAGAGTGGGGACTCTAATGTCCAGTTAGCTCTGAGAAGACAACCCCAATGCCATCTGCCTGTCTTTCCCACAGCACACGGGGGTCTACCCCATCCTGTCCCGGAGCCTGCGTCAGATGACAGACGGCAAGGACCCCACCGAGTGGCACGTGCACACATGCGGGCTGGCCAACATGTTTGCCTACCACACGCTGGGCTACGAGGACCTGGACGAGCTGCAGAAGGAGCCACAGCCTCTGATCTTCGTGATTGAGCTGCTACAGGTGGGACGCTGGCGGGGAGGAGAAGGGTGGGAGGGGAGGGGAGAAAGCTGTCTCAGCATCAGAGAGAGACCAGGGCCAATGGGCATCATGGGAGCCCAACACCACCAGTCATTAGCCATCACCCATTTTCTCTTTAAAGAACAAGAAAGGGTTCATAAACCAAAGGAAAATTGGAATTTGAACCCCTTCCCCCAAAAGATACTTTTGCCTTTTCCAAGAGAAAAGCCCATTTGGGACCAATGTTTTAAAAAAATGTCATTTTGGAGGCATTTTACTTCTATTGGTTCTCTACTTCCATTTCTGTTTTCAAAAGTTTAGAATTATATCCTCATTTTCAGTCCTGGTGGTTTGTGGTTCTCTAACCGTAGAAGAGGCAACCTGGAACTATCCACACTCCCTGACCCAGAGTGACTGTTAGCCCGTGTTTACGGGGTGGTGAGAGACTCAGTGATGGCCGAGGCTGAGGCTCAGCCTGAGGGCTATGTGAACGAAAACAAACAAATAAGAAAACTGTTACCAAAGGGCCTGTTTGAACAGTTCTACACCAAACAAGGGCATCACCTCTAAGATGCTTATTTATAGACATTGTATATTTGTACTTTATGATGACCATTTTTCAGCAGATGGCAATTAAGTGTCTTGTTCTAATTACATGAATATTATGGCAATTTTCTGAATATTGGAAGTAAAGTGTGTTGACAACGTGGTGTCTTTTCCTAATTTGCACAAAGGCGCTGATTTAGGGTGGGGATCCTGGAACCTTGTTGCTTCCTTCGCATTTATATGTGTTTGATTGGCAAGCATGATTGTGCTGGTGGAACCTCACTGTGGAGAATGCAGAGCTGACTTCAGTGAGGCGTGCTGGGGTCCCTACCTGCTAGGGTGCAGGCACCTGGGGCCCCACCTTGCTAACCTGCAGCTCTTGGGCCAGGTGGAGGCCCCGAGTGAATACCAGAGAGAGACCTGGAACCTGAGCAACTCAGAGAAGATGCAGGCGGTGCCCATTCTGCATGGAGAAGGAAACCGGCTCTTCAAGCTGGGCCGCTACGAGGAGGCCTCCACCAAGTACCAGGAAGCCATCGTCTGTCTGCGGAACCTGCAGACCAAGGTGGGAAGCTGCCCGACATCGGGGGAGCAGCCTTGCCTGGGTCAGGGCCGTGGGGGAGGAGGGGTGTCAGGCCACAGCCTGAGCTCACAGTAGACCTTTCTCCACGGGTAGGAGAAGCCCTGGGAGGTGCAGTGGCTGAAGCTGGAAAAGATGATCAACACCCTCATCCTCAACTACTGCCAGTGCCTCCTGAAGAGGGAGGCGTACTACGAGGTGCTGGAGCACACCAGTGACATCCTTCGGCACCACCCAGGTGGGTGGGTGGTCCGGTGGGGGTCGGGTCCGGCCCACGGCGGCAGAGGCACCCACACCTCCATACACGCCTCTTCTGACGCTGCCAGGGCGCCAAACCTTGCTTCCACCCAGCAGGGTTTCCCAAGCCTGTACCCATATGACAGGTGATGGACAAGCAATGCTTCTTGCAGAGGTGTTTTAATGTGAATTAGGACAAATATATAAGGAGTTTGACAAGCCTGTGATGGTGTGGATCAGTAAACAGGTTTTGTTTTTTTTTTAAAGGGGGCCATTAATATAGAGAACACTATTAAGTAAATACTAGTATCTGTGATATATGGGTATGGCAGGACAACAGTAACCATAGGTGACAATGGTATTTCAATAACGTTAACAACAACATCAAACACTTACTGTGCACCAGGCACTAAATGCTCTGTTTGTCCTGTCATTTAATCGGCATAATAACCATATGGGATAGGTGCAAAGATAGGGCCTGAAGCGTTCGCCCTTTGGGGAGCTTCTATTAAGAAAAAGAATAGAAAGTTGTGCATATAAAATTAGTTATGAGGCCTTGGAAGGGTTTGCACAAGGGTGAAGAGTAGCAACTGCTGTTATTAGTGTCATCCCCATTTCACAGTTGCGGACACAGGCTCAGCTAGTACAGAGAAGTTAAGGCTCACGGTCAAGGCTAAGGATTTTGTAAGCTGGTAAGGCCCAGTGGGTGGGGGCTGCCTCTGGGACTGGGCAGCGGGTCCAGCTCCATCCTCTCCGCAGGCATTGTGAAGGCCTACTATGTGCGGGCCCGGGCTCACGCAGAGGTGTGGAACGAGACGGAGGCCAAGGCAGACCTGGAGAAGGTGCTGGAGCTGGAGCCCTCCATGAGAAAGGCGGTGCACAGGGAGCTGAGGCTGCTGGCTGGCCGCTTGGAGGAGAAACGCGAGGAGGAGCGGCTTCGCTGCCGGCACATGCTGGGCTAAAGCGCGTGCGCTGGGCCTTTTCCGCCTGCGTCTTCGGCTTCCCGGTCCCTGTCTCCCACCAGGGCGCCCACCACCTCACCAGACAGGTGGGCACTGGGCAGCCAGCAGATGGCCTGGCCATTTCTAGCTCAGTTGGCCAGGATTTCGGTGTCACTCCTTAAAACTTAAAATTAATTCTTTAAATCAAAATAATACATGCCCATGGTAAAAAACCACAACAACAAAAAAACACCCCAAAACAAAAAAACAAATAAACCAAAAACCCAAAGAAACCAAAGCGCACAGAAGAGCTTATGAATAAAAGCAAAAGTTTCCTGCCCTACATCTGCCTCCTATTTTTTTAGCCCAGAGCCAGCAGTTAAACCCTGTGTTTTACTCTTTTCGTAGTTTTCTCTATCTGCAACTAATATCTTTAAATCACAGTTTCTCCTTGTGTCATTTTTAGCCCATGTCAACAAAAAATGAGAATTCAATGCTTCGATGCTTCCTTCCTTCCTTCCTTCCTTCCTTCCTTCCCATTCTCTCAATTTTGGGTAGTGATATTTTTGGTTCTTTGCTTGGTTATTTTTGTAACTTTATCCACTTTGTCCAGAACTCTCTAGCAAATCCCGTTGTCTCTCTTCTGTATAGTAGATGAGAGTGACAGCACTGGGACCCTTACCCTCAACCCCCACTTCCCTCCTACCTGGTCTGAAGTACCTTCACTTTTCCACCGTCCTGGCTTGTTAACATCTATGTTCTGTCTGTCACCAATATTCAGTCTTCTCTGCTTTGTCCAAAGGTTGACTCCAAAATTTGAAAATCAATAAATGGCATTTACGTGAAATGGCTCTGGGAGTGTATTTTCCTGAAGGGACTCCCCAGAGGGACTGTGATTGCGTTTCTTCTTCTTTGGTTCCAAATGTATGACCCCAGGCCACAGATTGAGGATGTCCTTCCATCGGGAGTGGCAGCGTATATTTTAATGGAGGAGTGTTTTATTTTTTTTCTTTCTTCCCTGCTTTTGCGGCACTAGCTACCCTGGCGGTAATCCCGAGTGTGGCTCGAGGTTAATTTTCACTGCCAGAAAAGCGGTAACCCCGAGCCACATTCGGGATTACACTGCAGTGTCCCAGAGAAGTCCCTTACCTGCTCCCTGCGATCCTGCGGTGTCCTCCTGTGATTGCCGACGAGAACGCCGGCCGATGACAAATTGTAGTGTTTTTTTATTTGATTACATTATTGAATAAAATTATTTTATTTTTTATAATTATTTATTATATTATAATTTATGATTTTGTGTTTCAAACTTTACCATACCTG